GAAATAAGTCGGTCATTTTTTTAAATCTCAAATATCTATAAAATGCAATTGATTTAAATTGTGTAATTTACGGGAAAGTTCTATCTTTATATAAAGTAACAAAACAAATAGAAAGATCATTCTAATTTTAGTAAGTCTGGACTTATCTAATATACGTCACGCCATATATAACTTTAAAACTGGCTATCTCAGTAAATGCAAAAGAAACCTGAAAGGAATAACAACTAGAAAGTCTGCTATTGCAAGCAATAGTGTATGTCGCCCCGAACTGGGCAAGACTTTCTTTTTTTTCATCACTAAAACAATACCCAATAGCGAAGATTGGACACCCATCAACTCGTTTCAGTCCTTTAAGGTAGATCGCGGGTGTACTGTCTGCCTGAAAACATAGGCTAAAGATTTGTCAGCTGAACTCCTCTCGTTTTGAGATTTTACTTTCTGAAATTTTTTTGAGATTCGTCTGCGTGGTTAGGTTGCAATCGTAATTCAAATGAGCTAATGTTGGTGAAACAGATGACGCTTATTCAATGAAATATATAGTAAAATGTCCCTTTTCTGCCGGTATACGCATTTGAAAACCATACTTATTAAATTAAAACGAAGCAGACGAAATTTTATATTACTTGATACAATGAATGTGAATTAAATTTAGAATCGATTTATTAAAAAATTAGTATGTGTTCTCGCTCAATTTCCTCCAAAAAAACTTTAAAGTTTTACAATTTTTCACCAGAAGTAGTATATTGTCATCACGACGTTATATACGTTGGTGCGACGTCATTATTTTCGTATGCCTGCATGACTCAAAAAAATTGAATTAATAATCAACAATGGCAGCAATCGATAATTTGAAAATTTTAAATGCGAATCGCACAACTACAATTACTAATCATTAATATAAGAAAGTCTCATGATGAATGTTCAAAGGACAAGAGAGAACACTTCCGGACAAAATTCGTTATTTTTCACACGCTTCCTTGACAACGGTAGCCATTTTGAAACTGAATGACCACACAGCAAAACTACAACTAGTGATCGTCTTTTGAAAACAGTTTCAGGAAGGTTGTCCCAGCCATCTCCGAGAAACAGCCTGGAGAACAAAAACATGCGTACAATCGCAATATGTCGCCCCCCCCCCACTTTGTTCGGGGCGACATTATATAAATGGTGCCTGTTTTGGAGGATAACATTTAAAACTAACACCCCACCCCAAGGAAAACGACGCGTCAGCGAAGGTTGACAATGATTGTCCGAGGGGTGTAAATTTTAACTGTTACCCTCCAAAACAGGCACCATTTTTTTTTATTATACTGAATGTCTTCTCGATTTAGAATGTCAGCAAAAAAATTGTCGATCATCTTTACGTTCACGTTTAGAAAGCTTTCAAACTCCCCGCTACTTTAAAAAAGATTTACTGACCTCTTTATTGTTTATTTGATACTCTGAGGGTGCTTTATCATCTAAGGTTTCGTTATTTCGGCACTCGCAAGCATGTTTCGTCTGTCGTTTGTTGTTTTCAAGTTTGCTACATCGGACGCAAGCTTTTATTGACGTCAAGCTTATTCAGGTACTTTCAAACGCGCAACTGACGTTTTGAGAATGCTACCGTGAACCGTACGTGCATAATTTCCACGCATGTGACATTACTGTTGTGTTACCCGTTGTCACGTGTGTTGCTAAGGCTGAGGTGATAGAACGGATTATTAAGGTGATTCCACACTCACAATTTTATGGGTTCAAAGTAAAAAAACTGCATTTATTTTCATTTAATATACTTTAAACTTTCCAATTATTGCGAAAAAAGTATAGGTCACCATATTATTTAAGATGCAAAACATAAATAAACAGAAGTGTATGTCAACATAAAAAAAATCGCACATTTTTTGTAAACAGTATTATGAAAAATATGTAAAAATTGGTTAAAATGCATAATTCTGATGCTGAGTGTTCCTAAATACTTCCTTCTTGAAAGATACTTTTGAATTGTGAATATCAGGGAAACTATTTTACAATAAAGCAAATGCCTGAATGAAGAGACCTTAGAAGGAGTTATTGCCCTTGTCAACATTTTTTAAAGGTTGAATAATTGATTAAATATAGAAAATATGCATTTTTGAAATTCTTTAACTTAACCATATTTATCATTACACCTATTGTAAAGCATTCTTCCAAGAGATATTGTTCTATTAGGTATGAATTTAAACTAATTACAGTTTTTGCAAAAACCTATGACATCATAGGAGGGTGGAATTATCTTAACTGCGTCTAAACCAATCAGATTTTAGTATTTAACATGAAATTATAATAAAATCAAATGGTAAATTACATAAGTTATGAACAATACAACATTTTGCGTATGAGACAATTTATTTTACCAATTAAGATATGTTAATCCAAATTTTGTATTAGGATCAACTATAAACTAAATTGTTTGGAAATCGAGACTTCAATTTTTCCATCGTCAAGTTCATCATCTATTTAGTAGTATTTCGGAATCATCTTCCTATGTTCTTAACATCTGCCATCGTATTCGAAGTATAGGACTAATGTTTGATCTGACAGGTCAACAAGGGATACACACTCCAGGCTCTATTTAAAGCGCCTTGGCCTACGTCTAAAATATCCAGGGGTCCGTGTTTTCGATCTTGAGATCAATCACTGTTTATCATCTTCAAATTTCACAGGTCTAGTGGTTAGGCATTACAACTGAAACAACTAACTCAAGGTTTAGTTTTTATTACACGTCATTTAGAAAGTTTTGAAAGAATAAAGTGGTGCTTACGCGGTTGTTTATTTAACCCTGACTCAAATACAGATTTTTTTCCTTCAGAAACGAATCATTTTTGTTGTATACTTTCCTGTTGGTAAATAATAGAATATATTGTTTCCAGGGAAGACTTATACTTCCCTCGATTCTTATTAAACAAAGCATTTGACATTCACACTTCTCCCGTAGGGCTGCATACATGTATTTCTGTCCCCTATATGCAAGATAAATAATGTTAGCATGTAAGAAAAAAATATGTCAACATGCAAGATAATTATGTAAGCATGCAAGTTACTAATTTTATCAGAGAATATAACAATTTTAGTATGGGTAAATTTACTTCATTTCACTAACGTCATTATCTGCATGACAACATACAAGATGCAAGATACAAAAAAAATGTTGACAAGCGACTTCTTTACGTTAAAATGCAAGATAATAATGTGCACGTGCAAGATAATTATGTAGACATGCAACATATTAATATTAACAGGCAATATAATTATATAGACATGCGACTTGTTTATGTCAACATGCTAGATTACTATGGTAATATGAAACATGCAATTTATTTATGTTACGACTTACACATTTGACAATATGTACATTGATATGTGTCACAGATTCATAATATGGATAAAAACAAAAAGATTTCGGTGATTAAAAGGAGAGGAAACAGAATGCTGCCGAGGAATAGTGTGATGATTAATTTAAAAAAAGCAAATGGCACAGGAACTTTTTCACAGTAGGGGCTGTTTGGAAAAAATAGCATTTTTCTTCGTCATAATTTTATACAGAAACAATTCAAAGAGGTAAAATAAGTGGACAACCATCCACTGTAATCTCTAAAATGTTCCATAATAACTAAAGCCAAAAAGATAAAAATCAGTTGTAAACAAGCAATAAAATCGACTGCATTATTTTCATTTTCTTTACTTCCAACGATATTTATCTTCTGTTGTATTGTCAACTTATTCGTAAGTAGCATTCATCAGTTACAAAAATGTTCGTTACCAGAAAAGGTGCTAGTGTAAAGAATCAGTTGTGAGATATGAACAAGAGATTTTCAGTAAAATAAAAGTTGAATAACTGCTGTAAAACTTGCTTGGTATTTCAAATCATTGTTTAAGCCGAAGGAAAAAACAAGTACATCCTTATGTTTTTTTTAATTCCTCCATTTATGTTTATAATGAGTTATTGGTTAGATTACAATAGTTTAAGTATATACAAATATCAATAATTGAAATAATAATATTGCGAACACCATGGAAATAAATATTATTTATATTTTTTAAAGAGAATTTTCCATTACTATAAAATTATCGATCAGAAAAATACATTAATGTATAAATTATAATTAATAATATCACAGGGATAAATTTATCAGGACGGAAAAGGAAGTATTTTCAGGAAATAGATCAATGCTAGAATTTTCAGCACTATGTCATTACATCGTATAACGTATATCAAATATACTATTCATTCTTTTCTGATTTTTGAAAAGAGTTTTCTTCATAGATTTATAAATCAAAGACATTTTAAACTCTCATGAACTGATGTAGAAAGAACTTGAGGAATACTGAGAGCATTATGGCTATGGATGAATATATGTAATGAATCGAATTTGTGGCACTAAACATAAACCAACTTTTATTCGCGACGACATTATTTTGCGATTTACCTTGGGTAAACTACGCGACAATTAATTTTTGCGATCAAGCCTATTTAGGTTCTTTTGTTAATAGACACATAGACTTTGAGAACCGGTTCGCGTCGGGAAATATTCGCGATGACCAAGCTCTTGCGAACTTCACTTTTATTTCTCGCATGCGAATAAAAGTTGTTTACAGTAGACAGTATCTACTTGAAGTTGAAAGTTTGAGTAAAAAGGAATCTGCAATATTTCAAATGCAGTGAATCCTTTTTAAGATTTTTAAAGTGATTATATTCCGTAGTTTTTATATATTTAAAATAATCTATAAATTAAGGGAATGCTTCGTTCAAATTTTCTGAAATTCAAAAAGATTAAACAACAAACAGCGAAAATTTATGGAATAGTACTAAAGCACTCATACAAAGCTCTGAAAGCCTTTCCTAGCAAAGTATTTATACTACACTTTTAATGCACATTAACTTCAAAGTCTGTTACACGTACATGGTGTTTCTACGTACCATCCACTTGCATTGCAACACAGTGATGATTGAAATGATAGAATTTACTTCCTTCTTGTTCTAGTCATCATAATGACTGTCTTCTTTTCTGGTTATATCTATTTTGTTGCCATTTTACACATTCATTTGATTAATGGTAAGTTATTTTTCTCTTTTTTAACTTTTAGTGATAATTTTGAGTTACTTTGATTTGACTTTTTACTCAAATTGTTCTTGCAGTATAATTATAACATTTTAAAAATAACATACTAGTAGCTTTGAAAGGATAAACAATGTATATGTCACTCAAAATCGGTTAAATAATACGTATTTATTACTTGAGGAATACAAGAATGTTAAAATGGAGCGATTAAATAACTTAAATCTTACTTTTTACAGCTAAGTACTGTGCGTTTCAATTAGGGAGGAAGTATGGAAACACAAAAAACTGCACTAAACTAGAGCACTGTAAAAAGGCCTTTGATGATAAAACGGGAGCTTGTTTAGGGCCTGAGAACCAGTGTGAACCAGGATGGATGGGACCAGGCTGTCAATATAGTAAGCTCAGACAAATTGACCTTTTGAAATTCTTAAGTGAAAATAAGGAATGGTGTTTAATTCATAATGACAGAATAATAATTAATTGTGAACAAAGCAAAACACAGACCCATTGAAATATTAAAGGTGTTAGGTGCCCAGGAGGAGTAAGCATCCCTTGTTTTCTTGTCAAACCCGCTTTACAGTGCATGCATGTGTTGATCAGGTAGACAAAACTCAAGAAGTAGCTTCAGGTGCATAGGTAGAGACAGCATCTCTTGTGGAACAATCACACTAACAGTACAGAGTACTGGTCAAAATACAGAGTAATTTATAGGCTAAGAGCAAGAGCCACTTAGGGTCTTATTTGGCCCTGAGACTTCTGAAAAATCAGAACCGCTCAGTTTAGATTGCAAATGCAGTATTTATAACTAGGAGTGTTGTTGACCACGTATCTATTAATCATGACGTAATTTTCCCTCTAGTCAATGCATTATGACGTCAAAAATACGTCATTTTCCCCATATCCTGTAAATTCCTTTGAAAATGGCCTATTTTTTCAACATTTCATATAGAGCACAACATCAGATCCAAAATATACAAATGCATAATGAAAGATCTGTTTCTAAAGATAAAAAAAAACATGTTTAATTTTTTGGATCGTAGGCTCTGCTCATATTTTAATTCTTTGCTGAATGGAGTCAAATACACATGGTTTCTGCAAATTTCAAGAAAATTGCAACTTCTCAAAGCCTGTTTTCCAATATCTGGAATCTCAAAAAGAAATTCTATTATAGGAAATTGAAGTACCAAGTCTCTCCTTTATTTCGATATAAGAAATGGTAAAGAGGATAACAGTTCATTAATTGATTTAAGTACAGGGTCATTTTATGCATAAAGTGAACCTAGCTCTTCAGTATGAACACAGCGATATGTTTTATTTATGAACAACCGGATTGTTGAAATCCTAGTGACAACAACGTATTTGTATATATTTAATATTTTTTTGTTTTTAAATTAAATTTAATAACGGCTTTAACCATACCATTTCCATGCCAACTGTTGAAATTTATCAGGCATTAACTGGGGGACATTTACTGGACATCAAAGAGAAAAGGCCATCTCCAAACACTAAAATTATATTACAAATTATACCAGGGCCCTCGTACATTTATTTTTATCAGCGTTTTTATTGTCTGTGTAGCGGGCCAATTCCTCACATTCAAGTATACTTATCTAGTTTAAATGGAAAATTTTCATCAATAGGTGTATTACAGCTGACTCCTTTTTTAATTAAATCCCATAAACTGAACAATTCTGCATGAGGCTTAAGATACCAATTAAAATATTCAATCTGCTATTTGTTTTATAAGTTTCGATGGTCCTTGTTAATCATTTTAATTTTATGAAATAAGACATCATTAAAATTCCTCGTTTTGTTGGAAAATGCAGTTGTGGCATTTATCGGGATTATGGCATCAACTTCATTCCTCATGATTAAGTTCAAACTTTTGACTCAACTAAATATTCCTGAACATGTAAACATGTCCTCGTCATGTTTATTCTGCCAACAATGTTCATATATAATTCCAAGCAAATATGGACCAAAGACTTTCACAATAAATAATACACAACGGCATGTAATTTGATAATTTTTAACTTTAAATAAGTGATTTTAGAATAACTGCTGGACATACTCACCAGTTTCAATTATTTATGAATTAGGAATGATTGATTCTGAATACTAAAGATTATATATGCATTGCCTGTTAATGCTACCTCCTGCTTAATCGTTTTTTGTCTGACAGGTTTGACGTTATTTGTTAGATCATTGTTTTTGTTGTAAATTTGATGAAGTTCTCCGTATATCTGATTAATACATAGTACCCATGGAGGATCTGGACGATTAACAGGGTATGCTTACTACTCTAAGTCACCTGATTCGACCTTTGGTGTTTTCAGGATATTATTGGCACTGCTCTTGATTGGTTTTTTTCCCTAGATTTGTGAGATTAATAATATTTTGTTATCAATGTATTTTACGTTTTAAAAAATGCCAGATTGAACACATATTCAGGAAATTTCTGGTTTTTATACCTCATGTCTTCTTTACTTATTTATGTCAAAGTTAAGACCCGGATATTTTAAGATACATTAATTGATATATCACCACACAGTTCTGTTTATTTTGTCCCTTATCAAGTTTTTGACAAGAATTTTAAAATCTTATTTTGTTGTTGACATTTTTTGTGACAAATTATAACGGATTTGAAATCCTTCCCTGCAGAAAACGCTTATTACATGTTGTGTTTTTCCTCTTTATCAAAATAATCTGTTACTTTTTAAAAAAAATCTGCTTAATTTAGTACCATGATTGTAATTCCAAGAATATTACAGACTTTTTTATTATATGAGACTAGCCAATAATACTAAATACCAAAAAAAAAGAAAAAAAAAATACAAAAATGCCTATTGCACACATAAAAATCATTCAAACAATGATGTGAATATCAATATTTTAAAGTGAAAATAAAGAAAGGATTGTTCCCCAAATCTCTTGGTGTGTTGCTATGTAAATATTCATTCAAGATATCAAAAAGTTCCTGAAAGACTTCAGTCCAATATGCAATTACAAGTATGATTATCTATAATACGATATACAATTTAAAGGAATATCTTTATTTCCAATGAATTACGTCTTTGTTTCCAGTAAATTTAGCATATAAAAAGAAATCCACCAGGCCAAGTCTTGATGGGAACTTGAGCACATCTGAGGACATCAAACGAATACGGATCGATTTCTATGGAAGTTTTATAATTTCTGCTTTAAATATTCATGGTAATAAATTAATTTTTTATTGCCTTGAAATCTTTTACATGGCTAAATCGTGTAGTTAAAACCAATATCCAACGAATTTGTATGGTAAATATGATTTATTTTTCTTCTGCTTGGATTTTTTACAGCAATTTCGTCAAACAACGTAACCATCAAATCTCTAAATAACGAGACATGTTTCATCGGACCAATTAAAGAAGGCACCCCTCTTGTATTCTGCAGCTATGTTCTGAGAACAAGAATGTTAGATATTTCATTTACACGACAAACAACCGTATCTGAAATAGAAGTTTATGGAGGTTTATTTTTTTTATTTTTATTCTTATATGTTTATTTTGAAAATAAATTCAGACATGAAAATATCCCTTTTTATTGTCAATGTAGCTAAATTATCATAAATTTAACTGTTAGATTTTTTTATATATATAAATGGCATATCTTATCACTTATCAATTGCAAACTTCTTTTATTGAAAAAATAGATTTCACAGCCAAAATATTTGATATACGAAAGACGCAGAGGTATTTTCTTAGAATATTCATTTTATATTGACTAAGATCTTTTTCATTATTATTTATTATCTTATTTCTTATTATATTGTTTTGCTTATTAAGGCCCTGTCACACCAAGCTGCGTTCACACAGAGACTTAAGGGCATTGTTAAATTTTTAAAATCGCCGAGGAATCGCAGGGAAATTGCTCAAAATTCTGTAAAATTTTCACAATGTGAAGATATCATGGCGTCCTTACGGCGACGGACGCGATTCTACAACGATCTCACAGCGTTTTACTGCGTTCCCATGGAAATCTCTTGGTGACTGACTGCGCTTCGGCGTGTTAGGAGTTTTCACCTCGTGTTCACAGCGTTCTCACTGCGCTTGCTGCGTTCACAATACGTTCACAATGTGTTCTATACCCATTGATATATATTCAGAAGGAACATAAAACGTTTTTGTTTAAAGCTTCAAGTTACACGATTAATAGACTCCTAATCATGCCAAAAATATTCTTAATAATGTGCGTTTGATCTAAGAATTCAGTTAGAAAATTTCACATAACAAATTTTTTGCACTAAAGATATGTTTCAAAGACCCTTTTTTTCTACAACAACAAATGAGACTATTGAAATGGTGAATGATTAGACCATAAAAACATTATTTATTACAAGATGTTTTCCTCTTGAGAATTCATTTCAAACATCAGCTGTAGTTCATCAAGTCTAATAAACCAAACAAGAAATTTATTTGGATACTATTTTCTCTCATGTTGTACAAGTTCTATGAAAAGCAACTTTAAGACAAGAATTTTGATTTTTTTTTTTTCGTTTTATTGAGGTAACATTGAATTCTTTAGGACGGAATGTCGCTTTGTGGAGGAAGACGTCACAGTCATCAGACTACAACAGTGATTACACATCTGACAAAGCAGTGGATGGATGGGACAGCGGAGGAGATTTGTTCAATAACTCGTGCACACTAACATATGGGATAATTGAGCCTAATGGTCCTTATTGGAGAGTTAATCTTGGAAGCCCATATTCAATTATGTCAGTTCGCATAGCAAGTAGAAATAAATTCGGTTTGTTTTTGTTTTATAATGTATTGTCATCTTCTCAGAATTAATTTAAGAAATAAAGTCCGCGTTTTCGTGAATGTTGCAGAATAACCTCCGACGTCGAGAAATGTTGTTTGAAAGATAAAAGCCGAGGCGTTAGCCGAGGCTTTTATATTTCAAACAACATTTCGAGACCGAGGAGGTTATTCTGCATCATTCACGACAACAAGGACTTTATTTCTATTCTACCATGTATACTACAGTCACTAAAATACGGATAATCGTTTCCTCTATAGAGGAACGAATTAGGTCACCATGTCTCGATTACGCTGTTTCTTTTAACACCAGAGGTAAAATTTGTTTGCTTATTTGTGTATAGAATGCAGACGATTTGAGCTTTCGTTACATTAAAAATAGCCTTTTTAAATTACAAAATTGTTCGTATATTGTATTGATCAGTTAAAATGAATATACAATAACAAAATAATGCTCCTGTTTTAGAGCTAAAATCACGTTGTTTAATGTGTAGGGAGGTCCGTGGAATAGCCCCGCTATAAAAACCGACATTCATCAGCAGTTTGATGCAAGAAGTCGTTATTGATGATAAAAAGTCGTTATTACGAGATAAAAAGTCGTAATAACGAGATAAAAAGTCGTCATTACGACTAAAGAAAGTCGTAATATCGAGATAATAAGTCGTTATTACGAGATAAAAAGTCGTTATTACGACTTAAGAAAGTCGTTATTACGAGATAAAAAGTCGTAATAACAAAATAAAAAGTCGTTATTACGACTTAAGAAAGTCGTAATAACGAGATAATCAGTCATTATTACGAGATAAAAAGTCGTTATTACGACTTAAGAAAGTCGTTATTACGAGATAAAAAGTCGTTATTATGAGATAAAAAGTCGTTATTACGAGATAAAAAGTCGTTATTACGAGATAAAAAGTCGTTATTACGACTTAAGAAAGTCGTAATAACGAGATAAAAAGTCGTTATTACGAGATAAAAAGTCCTTATTACGAGATAAAAAGTCCTTATTACGACTTAATTTTTTTTCTTCATTTTCTAATTTGACCCTTGTAGGCTTTCGTACTATGTAAATTTAGGTATTTATATTATTTCAAATATTTCATATGAATTATATTGCAGAGAAAAGGTTGAATGGATTTCGATTAATTGGAGAAAACTTTACAAACACGAGGCAGTTGATATATTCAGATCAAGGAAATGCTACTCCAAGAAGTTCAGTTTGGGTACACTCGTCATTGATGAGATCATCTTTGTATCACACGATCATCATTGATGGAAAATATTTGGTTAACTACAAAAGCAGATACCAGATTCTCGCGCTCTGTGAAGTAGAAGTGTTTGGTATTAATATTTTATAGGTTTATTCTATTCTGATGATTTCTTTAATACAAAATCAGAAGGGCAACAAATTTCATACAGAATATATTAAAATAGATTTTTTTTCTGAACATATTCAGTTACACCTCAAAAAAAACAGTTAATTATATTTTTTTTCTTTTGAAACAACTGGTCACGGTGGGCTAGTGATAGAGCGTTCGCTTTGTGATCGGGAGGTCCGGGTTTACGGCACCGCGTCAAACCTAAGACGTAAATATAGTTAGTGACTGTTCCTTTGCCAAGCGCTTAAAGTCACGGGTCTTTCGGAATGACCTTAAAAACGTAGGTTTCGTGTCACGGTAGGCGTTGGCACGATAAAGAACCCTCACTGTTCAATGGCACTGAGGGCCGAGTATTGGTCTACATTTGAAGCCCTTTACCCGCATACGCATACATACCGGCATGCATCTCTACATGAGTAAAAGATTTTCGCATGGGACGTTAAGCAATATAAAATCAATCAATTATTTGGACACAAAAATGAACGTTGGGACCTTCAGTACCCATTTTTAAAGAAATATTTGAAATGCATAGGAACGTTATGATGAGCACGACAACCAATAAAAATACGGATGACATTTATTTTTCTTTACTTTCATATTTTACAAATATCATATTCTTGTGGAAAATTGGAGGGCTTAAAATGTCAAAAATGATTGAGAAAGGATAAACAATTTTTATAGTTTAACTCCATTTTGAAAAACAAAATATTGATAGAAAAGTTCGAGACATAACGTTGTAGTCAAAGGCTATTATTTACACGTCTGCATTTTAAGGAATTGATTGTATAGAACCCCTATAAAAGTGTTTGACACCATAAAGCACGTCTTTCAAATTTTTACAAACACTATTTTACCCTATCCCTACCAACTCACAATGGCGCGACACCATTTTAGAAAAATCAGCATTACTTGTAAACATTTGTAAGACAAGTATCATTTTCAAAAAATGAAACATTTATGTGAGATGTTTTGGGAAGGGGGTGAAATTTTCAGAGGATGTCTGTGAAAGTAAATACATGTAATTATAATAATACCTTCTGCGTACAAACAATCATATCAAACAAATTGCTAATATTTTCTGCTGTCACTTGCTATTGAACTTTTAGCTTGCAGATTAACAGAAAATGACAGAGAAGACTGTGTTAGTTTTTGTCCCAAAAACTGCCAGCAATCTGAAACGTGTTTAAATGAAAACTTTACCTGTCCTAAGTGTAACCCTGGATGGGAGGGTCCTCATTGTACTCAAGGTTATTTTTTTTCATTTACTTTTGGTCTTTCCATCAATTATCACATTCATTTTAATATTTGTATATTGTATTCTTTTTTAACATGTTTGAAAGAATTCTCTCTTTTCTCTTATTTCAGTCGTTTCTTGTAAAAGACCAGATGTATTAAAAAGAAATTTGTCCCTCTCTCCTGATTATTCATCATATGAATTTAACACAACAATACATTTTACATGTCTCGAAGGATTTATAATCCGGGGATATACACAAGCAGTTTGTGGACTAGAGGGGATTTTCATTAATAATAATCGTTCTGTATACATGCATCCATCATGCGAAGGTATGAAGCGTTGCACATCATAAGACAGGAAAGCTAACAACCAGCTTTTTTTTTAATTTAGAAAGAAAGGGATCTCGTGATACACAGTTATCTTTTTTTCTCCCCTTTTTGTACTAAAAGATTTAAAAAATGTTTTTAATTGTTTCAAAATATCTTTTGTTTATTATTGTTCCTTTTAATAAGTACATGTTTATCAACTAGCCGCAACCCCAACCCTAACCTATAATTACGTAGTTTTACATTAATTTTATCTTTACAGCTATAACTTGTTCCAGTGCTGACAATTATCTATCGGATATAATAAAGACTCCTTCAAAGCTGAAGTATAACTACCATGAGAGGATAAACTTTTCTTGTGCGAGTGGATACGCTCTACAAAAACCAACAGTGGCTGTGTGCGAAGAAGATGGACTTCGATACACAGATGGATATCCGAATTGTACAGGTAAAATGTGCTATGCATGCAGTTTTTTTGTTTATTTTATTGCGTTTACTAACTCTTTATCTTTCAACTTTCTTAGCAATACAGTGTAACAGATCAACAGTAACAAGCAGCAATCTGTTCTTAGATCCTCTAAAAGAAATGTATGCATTTAATGTGACCATAACCTTTTCATGTAAGAAAGGGTACAACCTAAGGGGCTCAAAGTCGGGAAAATGTTTACAAAACAACGTCTTTGTTTTTATGCCTGACGATGAAAAGCCATATTGTGAAGGTAAAACTGTCTTCCATCATGCACACATACTTCTGCACGCAAGTAAGTCTTATTGATGATGATCCAAAATTAATGACATAGCGCAAATAATTATTGATACAATGTATTTCTATTCATTTTATATCAGTTTATTTCAGTTCCTTAGCACTTCGTGTACCACTGAATAATATAATATTTTCTTGTTAATAACTTGAATTTGATTCGTCAAAAAAGACACTTTCTTCACCTCTAAATAAGTAAATCATGCCTTCATGTGTGATAGAACTTAGGAACTCTCATCACTGCTTGACGACTGGTGATACATGCATCCTTTAATAATGTTGGCTTTGCGGAATCTATGCCTTTGCAGTTCACCTTTTACAGTTTTGTTTAAAAAAGTAAATATATACGAGGGTTGTCCAAAAAAGTCGTAGAAAGGGAAAATAATTTAGTTTCTCTTTGCTAAATAAAATTTCTTTTCTTGTCATAGCAACAAGTAACATTTCATGATCATGCATTTCAAGTTTCATGATGATATCACGTTTAGTAAGAAAACTATGAAAAAATAAAGAGAGCATGTATGTGTGCATCAGCGCACGAGAGCAAGCGTAATTTACGTCTCTTATAACGTCATGGTCTTTTTTTCTGATTCACACGCGTTTGTTAACGTACAATAATTTTTTAAAGTAAAAAACCACTTTTGACTAAGGGAATTCACAACTGTCCATCTTTTTAAAGATTTAAATTTCTGCCGAAATTGAGTCGAAAGATTAGCTTATATTGTAGACACCAGAGAATAAACATTGTTTGACGTTTGCGTGGCCCAGAACGTTTCGCGCTGTCTGCGTTTAACAAACAGTACTCTACTTCTTACATGCGGTAACTACTGTGCAGTATAGAGGAAAAACTATTATTGAATCTCATACCATTTAAAAACGACTTTTCCATTAGAAGCTAGCGTGAAATGTCACTTCTGTACTTCTTTTTCCCGTCTCTTATGTATATAAAACATATCCAAAACAATTTATCTCCGTGCGCCGGGTAGGCGTCCGACGACGTCATTTTCATCAAACTCAATGCCAACAACACTTTGAAAATCATGACACCAATCGTCTGTTTCTAACGCTATTTATATGAAAATTTGACAGGATATTAAGATTTGATTCTGTTTTCACTTATTTAAATTTGAGTTCAATGTTTTAAATAGTTCTAAAGAAATAAAAGCAAATATTATAGTTCTTTGCGTATAATTTTCCGAATTTTGTTCGTGCGCCGACACACCATATCGGCCTTCATATAAATCGTCCTAATTTTATTAATATGGAAGATATATATTTAAGAATTCACAGTTTTAAAGAATATTGGATATATTATGTCTATGCAAAATTTGATTAGTATTGAATGATTTTTTAAATAGTTATAACCATTGTCTACGACTTTTTGGGACAACCCTTATATGTGATAGTCAGTATAATAAATAATAGAGGAGTCTCGGCTGATAATATTTTTCTTGTGATATTATTTATCAGTGTTACCTTGGACTACATGCAGTACATACAATTAAACTATAAAAATGACTCTACGATTAAACGCAAACGCAGCTTGGCTTGAAAAAATCTAAATCGTTGAAAAATACCAGGTAGGTAAAATAAAAGGAGAGACCCAAACGGGATATCAGGTGTAAGTTTCAGAAGAAACAGATGACAAAATAGTTACGCGACGTCAGGGGTTCTTTGTCTTATACTATTCGTATGCCCTGGTATGATTGGAACCAAAAGTGAACTAGATTCTCTATCTACTAGGTCAGGCGACAATTAATTATGTCACTTTGATAAATTATACGTAGGCTTAATTTTAAGTGTTTAAAATCCATAATTTGAAGGTTATATTCAACACGGTTCATTATATCTTTTATGTGGACAAGGAAAATTTCATACGATGGTACCTCAATCTAATGATAAGGTAAGCATTGGAAAACTGAATCAAATGCCCTTAAATGTATATCTACCATTGTAGGATTTCTAAGATATTTATGAATACCCTTTGTTAGCATCTAAATGTCTCGTATAAACTTTCCATCCGATTCGTGCTGTTGCGTGTATATTTTACTTTCTATACAGCTATAAGGTGTGATGAGACGGCTATTGATGTTCCTCACATTATCATTGACGAAAGGAAATCTTACAACTATAACGAAATAAAAATATTTGAATGTTTAGAGGGCTTTATCAGACATGGATCAGAAAAAGGAATATGTAATACCACAAACAATTTTCTGTTTTCTTCCGAAGATGGTGTCCCATCATGCCAAGGATGTATTAATCAAAATCTGTGAAAATATATCTCTACAATTAAGAGAATTTCTCTGTTGATAAAACATACAATGGCCTTTATATTTTATCTCTAGTCTATTATGTTGTGGTGCATTTTTTTATATCAATAATCTATAATTGCAAGAAGGAATATGATGCGAAGATATTGATACCGTCTAGGATGTATATTTCACTGGACACCTGATCCTATGTTTTCAGGAGTCCTTCTTTGTCCTATTCCTGATTCATTTTTTTTTATAAATTATATTGATCACTTTTTTTTATCAAGGTTTTACATTTATTCAATTTAGATTATATTCCGTGGTCTAGATAAAGGCGATTTGCAACAAAACTAAATTCCTTAGAATGAGTAATAATAATTATGTCTTTTCAATTTATTTAAAAAATGATCCTAATAATTGCCCACGAAAGCTCGAAAGTTTTTTTTACCAATGGAGTCCTTTATTGCATGAATTTTGGAACGAGGAGACCAATTCTAAAGGGGAAAGTCGGAATAGACGGTAAATATTTACGTGTCTAAACGGGCAACCATACCCTCTCAAGTACAACCACTGTAGATCACATGATTCAAACTGATTGATTGTAAATTGTCTAACGTCCCGTTTCACTCATATAGAGACGTTACCGTATTTCGGTGAAGGGCTTCAAATTTAGACCTATACACGGCACTCAGGGCCATTGAGCAGTGAGCGTTCTTTATCATGCCAACGCCTACCGTGACATGGGACCTATGTTTTAAAGTCATATCAGAAAGACCCATTATTTTCATTTCCAATGCCAAGCGCTTGGCGAAGGAACAGTCACTACCTATGTTTACTTCTTAGGTTTGAGGCGATTCAAACTCAGGAATTCACGATCAGAAGCGAGTGTGCTTATCACTTCCCTACTTGCCACCAATACCGGACACTCATAGGTTAAACAACCCTTAGACGTTATTACAGTTAACTGAGAAAATAAATCAAAAATTTTAATTAAGAATTGGTTTAATATTTTGTGAAGAAACGTGTGTTATTTTTTTTCTCTTTCTCTGTGACAAAAACGTGTTGAATATAAATCATACACGCTACCAATTTTGATGAACCATATTACGACAATGTCTATCTCTTCATCAGTGATGTTCCTGCTGAAACTGAAATCCGAAATATTTCAATGCTTAGAATTCTTGCCATATGTGTCTTTGTTTTCACGGCAATAACGTGCAACGAATCGGCTATAGAAGTTGAAAATCTTTTGATTGATGCGTCAGTTATCTACAAATATAATCAAATAAAAGAATTTAAGTGCAAAGAAGGTTTCGTAAACACTGGATCAAAGATGGGGACATGTAAAACTCGAGATGATTTTGAATTTTCATCCAAAAGTGGTAAACCTTTTTGCAAAGGTATGAAGCTTCTACTATTTTTCAGACGAAATTCACATTGTTTTAAATAAATTATTTTTATATACAGAAAGCTAATGATTACTTTTTACTAAATAATGGAATCAAAAATCTTGACTGCAAATAATAATATTAAAAGTTTGTACTGAAATTCATAAAACAGGATTTATTTCCACTGCGTAAAATGAAAGAAGCATGAACATTTTCCTGCCTAACTACTAATATCAAATACTACATATATTTTCGTTTGGAAATAATGCTTTATCGAGATGTTGGGATGTTGCGCTACATTAAGAGGAACCATTTGATAAAACCGATGTTTAGCTTACGGAGCTTTGGTTTTATGCAGAGAAAGTCGGTCATTTTCAAACAATAATCGGAGCTTTGACTGGGGGGATACTTGTTGGCTTTGTGATATTAGTATTTAATATTTAAATCGCACTGATACTCCTCAGGTATGGTGTTTTTATAATTGTTCTATCTAAATTACATTTCATTTATAACATATATATGTAGTGCATATTTTAAATATATGTTTTTCTTTACCTTGCAAAATAAAATATCAAAGGTTTTCTTTTCAATTTGTAAAATCAACCCTACCTTTTGTTTGAACAAATTATTAAGTCTTTGTATTATTCTGCTTTACGTTAGTAGTAAAATATAAAAGAATGAATGCACTTTTGTACGTCATGTTGAACATTTTCTGCTACCCATTTTAATCTTTACATTACAATATATCCCTGAATTAATCTATAATTATTGTGCAAGCATATGCTTTTGATATTTATGCCTTGGTTTTTTGTCAAACATATTTCTATAATTACAGACAATGCCATTGAAAAGAACATGTTTAAGCCTTTAAATTCCGGAAATTTGAACAGGACCACCGTCGAATTTAGGTACCTGCAAATAGGCGGAGACATTTAAATCGCATGATTGTGCAATGTAACAATAGCACATATGATATTTAGCAATCAAATACTACACTACGAATTTAAATGGTGAAGAGAGAGATTGTGTAGTTTCATGGTGCACATTTCAAAAGATATAGCTATGGTTAGAAGTCATTGCGATAGTTTTTTGTATGTAGAGAAATGATCCCTTCTTTCATATATTTTGTTCAGTATGGACGATGTAATTAATAAAGATTTGATAAGATTTGTTTTATCTATATAAGAACAAAAGTTGCTAATAAATATAAAGCAAAAGGGGAGAATTTTATTATTGATTGACTAATTTAGGAATGGGGCTGAGAAGAGTGGATTATTTTGTGTTCTACAAGTTGTGCTGGAGAGAATGAAGATAGAACAGGATGTCGCCATACATCAGGTGATTCAGCAGATGCTGGCAGATGCGCAGTGTGAGACCAAGCATCATACCTAATGTGGTAGGTTTATTACGAAGAATATGTCACTTAAAAATTATTGACAACGACCTGATTATGAAATAGTGCAACATTGTATCTTATTACAATGGTATTAAGTAAGTATTTATGATTATGTAGATTATGTATTATGTAGAAGTAATACGGTATATTGCATATCAAAACAAAGGTTAGTCATTTTCACTGTATTTAAGAGGAACTTTGTTTTCCCTCTGCAGCTGGTTATCTACAAATAGTTCTTTTTCGAAGGCGGAAATAATTAATCAGTTTGAAATACAGTATTTCAAAAGTATCTGAAATTTTTAAATGAAATTCTGAAAATACATGTACAAAATAAACCCTTACAGAAAAGGAGGCAGGCGGATTTTAATACAAGTTTAACTAATCCTTTGTCTTTGCTCCTCACCAAAGCATATACAGCAGTGTAAGTGTGCAACAACATATTTCAGCTTATATCTCCTCGTTGATTTGATAGGAAACAGAATGTTTAACGAAAAAACTATCGACAAATAAGTTAAGAATATAAAATCTTGTTTACTCTAATCACAAATTACCTTTTCTCAAAGAACTTTGTAGCTGGAACACGATTAGTTATTGTGGTTTTTAGGGGGAAGGGGGGAGGTGGGTATCGATACTGAGTGACTCAGTGCTCATAGTTTACTTTAATATTTACATATTTTTTTCTATCTAGTAAAACGTTGTTCGTTTCTATATCAATTTATTTTTCCCCTTTTTCTTTTCAAGAGGATTTTTTTAGACGAATCCTTATTTAATATAATCAAATAAAAAATCTTAAGAACATAACACCTGTCAAAATTTTCTTTATTCAAGCAGACTTTTGAAAATTCGGCCATTTTTCACTGCATAAATAGTGCTGCATAAGATATGTAAATTAGATTTAAGATAACTCTCAATATATCCAACATTATTTTTGTCCGTATTTCAATATATATTTCCGTATAGAATCACTGATTAATCACTCGTTTTTAGGAGCAGTTGAAGTTTTGTTACGATGAAGTTATGGAGTTCTTGAACCAATTAGTGCCTATTCAACTTTCAATAAAAGAAGAGGTACATAGACAAATCTTATTGAATTTGCATTAAAAAAGTGCGCTCAAACATATTTTTGTTTTTTCTCAGATTGAATTTTATAGTTTATTTTACATTTATTTAGAAATCATGTTTATACATCCATAGCTTTAAAATATATAATATATAATATGTTCTATTATCATAAGACGCTTTATTATATATAAATTTTTGTTCTTAGTTGTTTTTTTTAAATATGCGTAAGATATTTTTCTACTAAAGGAAAAGCATCATCAAGGACGCCAGATATCTTGTTCACCGAATATAAAGAATTAAGTGTTTTCTAAGCATTTTGTGAGGACGGAGAATCATACATCAATTGATCAGCGCGTCGACAAAAGTGCTTTCCACTCACTAGATATTAGATGAAAGCATTTAATTAATATGTTCCTGATATGTACGACATAATGGATTGTATATGGGTATGTGAGAGATAGATAAAGATGATCCTATTAATGACATCATCAAAGAAAGCGACATTTAAATTCATTCAAAATTATACGTATGAGTTATGGGGTTCTCAAATAAATTATTAATTTATCAATTAAGGAAATCATTAACATGTACGAGGGGTTATCAAAAAGTTCGTGGACTGAGGGTATAAAATTAGTACTATGTAGTCTGTGCTTTCAAAATTTATACGGAACATAAAACGGCAAAAATTAAAGAAGTGTTGAAAATTTTAGCCTGATACGTTCATTGTTTACCAAATTATTATAATATGAAACGACCTTATATGATCATCCGGCGCTGTCGTCGTTTATTTTCATGACGTCCGATAACGTCATTGCTTTTTCAATGTCCGCTTCTTATACCTCATACACTTTTTTGATGAGATTCCCAGGAGCTGATAAGGACTTAAACCCGCCTTGTTTATATGACTTTACAATGTCATGAAGAGTGGCCTTCAATGAAATGATATTCCAAATGGATTTATGCATTGGGAGAGATCCGCACTTGATTGTGCGGCATATTTTGCTTTTGGGAGTTCAATATCTACAACACATGATCAACTTCATTTTTTGACGTGATTGATTTTTCACACCTTGACTGCAAATCGACATTAACTGTGTATCCCTTTTCTCTCTGAATCTATTTTGACATTAAACGACAAGTACTCTGAATGCATATTATTTCTCTGTAGCCAGTTTCAACATATTTTAGGTCTATACCAGTTTACTCGGGGGCAAAACTTTATAGAAAGTTGGAAACGGACCCCCCCCCCCCCTTGACGTCATTTTCAAGGCCTCATTTGTTTGGACATTCCGTGAAAATTTACTATAAAATTTCATAGAACTTTCAGAATGAAGTGAAAATTTAATATTTTATGGAACAATTGTGTCCCGACACATGCCTGAATTAACGGGATTTTTGGATGTCAAATGATCATATCAAAAGAGTTTTCTCAGTTACACATAGGTCGCAAAACGTCGTGTTCGAGGTTGCGCCGCCTGGACATACCATTGCTTACAAAAACATTACTAATTTATTAAAAAATAAAATTTATGATTTATCGTTTATTCTTTAGGTAGAAAAGATGATGCTAACTAGATATTTCAAAATTCATTGATGTGCGGTTTTAATTTTAAGACGCTAGTCCACGAACTTTTTGATAACCCCTCGTGTATAAAAAGGATATTTCTTTAAGACAGATGACTAATACAAATAGAGTAGAATTAATCTTAGACCATAAAATCTTTACGACTAAAATTCAAAGCCAGGAAAGTAGAGTAACTTATTTCATTCTTTCTTTAATTATATATAATAATATTTTGTCAAGTTCGTAAATATCGTAATCCTGATCTCTTAATTTGCAAAGCGTTGTTTTTAAAAAATTTAAAATTAAAAAAATTGAATTGTTCAAATGCGGAATCAAGTATACCATCAGTTACTTTGTACCCCAAATTAATAATAACAAAAACGCAACATTGACAAAATTACCAAGCGTTAGGATAAAAGTTTTTTTTTTCTCCAATTGTGAACATAGAGTACCACCCTAACTCCAGAGCCCCTGGCCCTGGGGCCATGAAATTCCCAATTTTGGGAGAGGCAGCCTGATTCAACATAACCATGTACTTGGTTAATGTATTGAATACCAAGAGGAACAGAGAAGTTTTTAAAGAATTCATGTATTTTCAGTACAGTTACTGTTACTTTCCTCCTTGTTCCCGTGAAAACAAAGCGGTAGGAAATAGCGGATTGACATCCATGGTTTGCAATGATGGATTAAGATGACGTAATAAAAAAAATTCAAATTTGAGTTTCTTGGGAAAATATGAATAAGGAAGTTTTGAAAGCATGGATGTTGAATTCACAATTATAATCATATTACTCCATAATCATCTTTCCTCTTTATACGCTCAACTTGATAGCTTTAGACTGTCTATTTTTTGTAAAATGAAAGTCCTGTGAGAGAAGACGACCGAAGTTTTCATTATCTGAATATTGGAGCTGGTAATTTCTACTGATATTTCGCGATTATTATAACATCAATCCTGAACAAAGTTATTTTATCATCTACACGGAACAAAATTATGCTTTCATGTACATAAGTGTGCCAGTTAGTGTGCGTGCAATGCCGAACAGAGTATATTGGATGATATATATGTGTATGTTCCTATAAATGCATTTAGTTATCTTTTATGATTGTTTCTTTTTACCCAGTTTCCACAAAAACTAACAATTCCAAGGTTAAAAGGTAAGGTTAAATCTATATATTGCATGTGTTTAATAATGTGTTTAATATTTGCAATTGATAATATGATTTTTTAAAGTAATCTATTAGAATCAAAATTGCAACGCTTATTTGTAAATCGAGGGAGCTAATATAATTCAGAATTAACGAGTCAAAGATGCATTTAGTTCAATGTCACTGCCTTTTGGTTCTAATGTAAAAAATTAGGACCACATTGATTTAATTGCGTATTGTAATAAATAACAGGATATTCGTACTTAATTATGAAAGCAGAATGTGTTCCGTGACTGAAATTGTTCAGAAAGATACGGTCAGGTGTGTTGTGTCATTGCTTTCCTTCCAATCCCATTCAAGTTCTTATTCTCTCCACAAATCATTCTTTTACTGACTTATTGGGGTTTTTTGTCTGTAGTAAAAGTGCCGCTTTCTGAAAGCTTAAGATAATTAATAAAAGACAAATTTTAACCAACATGTAGCATTAAAATGATGTTTAACGTTAATTTATCACAAAATAAAATTAAAAAGACGGTTTAAGAAAGTGTCAAGGTAAAAACGTATATATAGAGGAGAAAATTCTGCACATAATGCTAACTATTCGATATATAGGTTACTTCAAAGTATTTTTAACGATTCTTATAACAGGACGGAAAAAAGGGGACGAATTTTCAGGAAATAAATCAAAATGAGATATAAATGGTTAATTTGTGATAAAATTAAAATAAAATGCATGTATGCATATTTCAGTATAGCAAATGTATTTTAGGTCATATACAGTAAATTCTTTTATTCTGTTCTGTTTTTCATCATTTCAATATTCTTGATATTATCTAAAAAAAAAAACTAGTGAATTGCTAGCGGATTTTTGAAGTGTTAAAATTAGGTTGATACTTTTAAACAATTTGTACGTTTCACATCCATTTCGAGTTTTTTTTTCAATTATATAGAGACCCTATCACTTTCAGGGGAGAAACATTGATTATTAAGTGGTGTTTGTCGTCGACACATCACCTCGGCCATCAAAAGGGCCGGTTTTTACTTCCCGCTTTGGGATTTTAACCCAAGAATAAGGTTCAACTCCTGTGTGCAACTCTAGAACATTTTTTCTTACTGTATGGGCGCCTACATCTGAGTGAAAATTTATCGAGATGGACGTTAAACAACTGTCAACATATATTCAATCAATAAATAAATCATTCTAACGCTAGGTTACTCCGGCGCCTTAAAAAAAGAATACATTATAAATTTTTCTCAGTTAAAACATCCAGATCAAACCATAAATGTTATACAATTACTTTTAAAAGCATCCGGACTACACTAAAGTTACACATTTGAGAAAAAAGTAGTCGTTATATACAAGAACATGTGCATGCATATATGCATCCTTTTTCTTTTTTCCTTTTTCTTTTTTCCTTACTATCAATAAGAACCCCATGGATACAAGTCTTTTGGATGAGACCGTATAAACCGAGTGACGTGTCGCAGTAAGTGCGGGCACGAAAAAGAAATTTGCAGCTTTTCGTCGGCAAGAGGTTTCGTCTCCATATGAGTGAACAATTTCCGAGAGTGACACAAAACAATAAACAAATATTCAATAAGATACCTTAATTTAAACCAACTTCTTTATGTTCTCTTTCACTAAATAATATTTCTGAAGTAAAATAAAAAGTGGTATCAATATTAAAAACATTTATTATTACTTGCGACAAGCAAATGAACACAAGTACTATTAAAGCATGTTCAACTGTGACCGAAGATTAAAAAAAAACATATGACTAAGAAAGCCAGTTTTTTTTTTCAAAATTACCAATGCATGCCTCTATTTACATGTGTGTACTCTTTAAGTGTCCTATAGTGTTTCTCCGCTTCCTTTGCTTGCAACTAAAACTTAAAGAGTTTAATTTCGTTAAAGAACTAAATTTACTTCCTCTTTTTTAGTTGTCAAGATGACTGCTCTTCTCACTACTTTTATTTATTTTGCTGCAATTTTACACATCCCTTTTATCAAAGGTGAGTCATTTTGTTCGACCTTTCTATACATATTATGCCTTTTTTCAGAATTCTTTCAAGACAATCTCCAAATTGATGAATTAAAAGTTTTGAAAACAGCAATATAATTTAACGTCTGACCTACATATTACAGAAAGAATTTGACAAACAAGAGTAATGAGATAACATAAAAAAAAAATAAAGTTTTGTTTTATGCAGGGAAGTTCTGTTCATACAAATCAGGGAGGAAGTATAAACACACTGAAGATTGCACGGAACTAGAACACTGTGAAGACAAAAACTTTGACGAGATTATTGGAGCATGCCGAGAATCTGGGAACCAATGCGAACCCGGATGGATGGGACCAGGATGCCAGTATGGTGAGCTCAGAACTATTCAGCTCCGGTATATGTAGTTAACTGACCTTTAAGAGAAAAAAAATATATCTGTCATAAAATGTTTTCCCAAAAAAATTGAATCTTTAAATTTAAGATAGTTCCCAGAATTAGAAATACTGCCACTTACATGTATGCAATACATGTTTATTCCAAACACTGCATTTTGGAGTTCTGATACGCTTAACTAACTTCAAATGTAACCACATTTCAAAATAGATAGAAACGTGAAGATGGTTAATTTTTGTAATTTTGCATGTATACCCCTGTCTGTCGTCCTTCTGTCTCTCTGTGCGAACGTATGCTGTCCATATTTTTTATGGACAATCATTAGAATCTACCACTTCACACAAAGATTGCTCATACCATATGTGTCATGACTTTGACCCAAAGTCATTTGTGCAAGTTCAAGGTCACTAAAAGATAAAGTGCATGATATGTGTCTAATCCTTATCTTTCTTGTGGATAAACATAGTAGGTTCCTTTTTCATACAGATATTGCTTATGACCTGAGGGTGTGACTTGACCTTGTCCGAAGGTTATTTGTGTAAGTTTAATGTCACTGACAGAACAAGGTCATAATAAGTGGCTGGTTAACATCTTCCTCATGGATAAACATGGTGAATTCCCATTTAGCACAAAGGTTGCTTATGACCTGAGGGTGTGTCTTCACTTTCACCCTAGTAATTTGTGCAAGTGCACTGTCACTGAAAAAGTTAATAGCTTAATCTGGGTACGTCCATATCTTTCTAATGGATATACCTTTCAAGTTCCCAATTTAAACAAAGAATGCTTGTGACCTGAGGATGGTTCATGATGTTGACAAACCCAAGGTCATTCGTGCAAGTTCAAAGTAACTGAAGAAAAGGTTCCTAATTTGTGTTCAGTCCATGTAATAGTATTGTTGTTTAAGTTAGCTACGGTTTAGTTTTATTTATTAAAAATATATAATGATTCAATTACTAGTAAGATTCTACTCTAAATGTTTTTACAAAGTGTGAACACCAGTACTAGTATAAGTGACTTGGTACCTTCTCTGCAAAATCTAGCGGAAGGGGGATATTTGTTCCTTTTGGGCAGTTCTAGTTTTAGCAGTATGCATTTTTGTTCTAAATTGTTTAATATTGTTTTGCTGTTTGGTTCATTGTAGTAAGTTTTCTTCTTTGCTTTGGTTTCTGTTTTTCTGGGTTTTTTTAATATTTGTTGTTGGTGTCACTTTTCAATGTACTATAAGACAGCTCATCTCCAATGTTCACGGGTTTCTTTGTTAAACTAATAATTACAGAGTTGGACTAAACTTATGTTTTAGGATGCTCCATCAAGAGGGAAGTAATTTCAAAAATACTACTAGGCATAGGAATCTTATATTTCCCGGACATAATTTTATTCACATTGCATTGGATGTCACAGCCAGTACGCTTTTCAAACAATTATCACTAATTTATTTATTCATCCAATGTATGATTTTGAATAATTAAATTTGAAAAAGGATCTAAACATTCCAAAGGTCTAAATTCTCTTAGGTGATACACAATTTTCATAAGCCTCTTAATGTGCTTAAATCTCACCACTTCATACAACTTGGGAAAGTAATGTAAATTTGCATACATTTTTATATTGTCAAAAGTGCGAGAATTGAGATTTAAATTAACAACACATTAAGATATTTTTTGATATTTGACATTTTGAAGCCTTGGACATCTTTTCTTCTAGACTTACTGTTATTTGCATAATCTGTTCTATAGAGCATTTCTATTTCTTTTTATGTATATATAAATACACTTCCTGATTTTTTTTCTCTTTGAACATAAAACCTCTATTATGGCTCCAAGCATCTAGACAGATGATTTTATGTGACCGTGGTAAAATCAGATAAATTACATTTCCTTCTTCTAGCTCAAAGCCTATTATTTCATGTCGTCTAACGCATTTTAAATTAAATGTTTTTTTAATTTAATATCAGTTAACCTGGCTTTTGATAATCAAAGCGGGACCATGCATTCGACGGACATTTGAGTACAATTCGTTTGATAGGACCCAAAGAAGAACTAACCCTTCCAGGGGTATTCATCGTGTCAGCTGTTAACATCTTTTTTGGTACATTTTATATTAACCCAAACTGACGCTTGCTTTAGCTCAATACCGTTGTTGATATCCTTATAATTGCTTGATTATAAGATTTTTATGACGGTATGAGATCAGGTTAATTTTATTTCAATGTTTTTCGAAATAGATTAGACAATTACTTACTTTCTTCAATAATAATTAAACGTTAAATTGGATTTGTTATCGAGTTTATTTTAAATTTATTATAGAAACTTTCGAACGTTTTCAATATCATTCATACTTAATATTTCCAAATACATTTATATAAAACTGTTATGCCTTTTTCTTATTGTTTTCTTTATTTCGGAAGATTCAAACAATTTCTATACAACGGTAAGAATATCAGTCAGCAAGGGCATAACAGTTTATGATGGACCATTGCGGATGGATTCCACTGTATATCTTAAACGTCCTGTGAGAACTCAAAGACTGCTGTTTTCATTTAATCGGTCTTTCATGGTGAAGGAAGTCGAAGTTTTTGGTGGTATTTACTTTCTTTCTTTGAATAATTTGGAATTATATGTGAATTCAAGATGAAACTGTAATATTTGTTTAGTTTTATAGCAACATAAAGATCAGTTACTATATGTGCATTCTAAGAAGTATGATAGGGGTAGCATATTTCTGCCACTGTTATGCTTTTAAATATTATATCTAGATGCGAGATAAAAATGTCAAGATGTTTAGAATTACATACATATGCTATACATTTTTTCAAACCTAATGACACTAATGCGGAAAAGTAAAAAAATTAAATCTTTTTATTTTTTATTTTTGGAAATGACCCATAGCATATGTCTAGCAAATTACAAGCAAATCTCTAAACAATTAAATGTATTATGCTGTAGAGGTCCGACGAGTGTAGACGTACATCTTACACTGCCACTCAGTCGAGATGAAATGATCAAGTTTTACCCATTGTTTTTCAAAAGAGGTGAACAGTATCATGAATAATACAAGTCAATAAATAATCAACAAACAGAAATTGCACATAGAAGCAAGGAATAACGCAAAAATCTAAGACCACGAAAGGAATATTACATGTCATCCACGAGTTTTAAGTGTGCAGTCGGGTGTAACGAAGTCGAAGGGTTCATATACCCGTTTGACGGTGCCGTTTTAAAAGAAGTGTTCGGCTTCAATCAATTATTGTAAAATCTCCACGATTTGTCAGTTTAACAAAAACTTTTCACAAATGTAGAATATTTTTTACAGAAATGTACGTTCCGTTTGAGGCATATTTTACGGCGAAGAATATAAGCAAAAAACAGTAGGTTTTGAGACTGGGAGATTCTGTGGGTAGAAGAAATCATAAATATGTATGAAACATACGGAGATAACGAGAATCATGATCATAATCCATAAAACAGTATAGGGACAAAACAAACACTGACCTCCAAAACATCAGAGGTGGTAACAGGTGCCATAGAGGACTGAGCATCACCTGCCGACCGGTCACACCCCACCTGTGTGCTCCGTGTCATGATTAGAAAATAACGGAAAAATCCGTGATCAATTCAACATATATACCGTGAACTAATGGAGGATATGGAGATCAGTATTTCAATATCAAAGTCCATAAAACAATACAAAATAGGAACAGAGCAAACACGGACATCCAAATCATCAGATTTGGGATCATGGAGGTTCCTAGGAGGAGTGGACATCCCCTGCCGACCGGTAACACCCGCCGTGTGCTCCTTGTCATGATCGGAAATAGCGGGAAAATACGTCGTTAATTCAGTGTACAAATAATGGACTAACAATTAGAATGAAAACCGTCGTTAGCATTTTACTCTATAATAAATTGTATTTCCTGACAATGTCATTGTATAAATCGACCATAGAACTTACAAAATGAAGACGTTTAGACGAGACGGCTGATATTCTTGTTGTATCCACTTGTTGTTTTCAATCATTTACATCGTTTTAGAAATTGCTACATAAGTAAGGGAAGTTGACGATTGAAAGGTTAAAGTCATCACGTTTTTCATAGAGCTTGGTTGTTAGATTATTAACATCTTTTTCAAGTAAAATATCCAAATATGAAACAGGTGTGTCAGACTCTATGGTATCTTTTATCTCAAGCTCAATGGAATATATCGTATCGACATAAGAATGGGAATAATCATTATTAATTGACAATACTTCGTCACGATACCTTAATATCGAGTTGAAGGCCACAGCAAGTGTTTACTTCTTCTCCAACAGAAGGCTTTTGGACAATTCTGCTTCCTATGAACACAAAAACAGGTCTACTATAACGGGGCGCAATTGGTTCCCATGAAAATTCCAATAGATTGTCGGAAGACCTGGTCTCAAAATCAACATAGATATTGTCAATCTGAAATTCAAGCATCATTTTTATGTCAACTTATTTATTGATAAATTTTACATGTACAGCATATGTTACTAGTATTCTTTTTTTGTTTCATTTTTTCTAAATTATGCTAAACACCCGTTTCAACACACATTGAATAACCGTTATATATTTAGCTCATTTTATGATATAAATATTAAAGTACTTTGAATTTCACTGGCATAGTATTTTCTGTAAACTATTCCTGATTTTATTTAGACATAATATTTCATTCAGGTAAAAATGTGGCTTTGTGGAAAGAAACCTCACAGTCAAGCACTTATGAAAACAGTTCTAATTATGCATCAGACAAGGCGGTGGATGGCTGGGACAGTGACCACTACTTTTTCAACAATACCTGTATACATACTGAGCTTCGTGGAGATAATCCATTCTGGAGTGTGATGCTGGGCGATTTTTACAGAATATTGTCAGTGTATATATCAAACAGAGAGGATAGAAGTAAGTTCATTCCATAGGGGAGAATTTTACAGAGATTATGTATCGAGAGTTTGATTGAAACTTCCTTTCTCTCTCTTTCTCAAATCTATACAGTGTAATGACAGAAATATTCTTTAATGGATTACTTGATTCAAGTCTTATATTTTATAGGTGAACGAATAAACGGGTTTACTGTACACGTGAAAACTGCCTCTGGAGAGGAACGCTTGATTTACACTGACAAACAACAAAGCAAAAGGAAAGATATCTGGATTGACTCTTCCTACATGCCGAATGAATTAGTAAATGAGGTTATAATCAGGGGTGATAATATCAACCATGAAAAAATAATCAACCTTTGTGAAGTTTACGTTTTAGGTATACATGTAATGTGTTTATGTTATTTTTCTCATTTCAGAAAATGGAACTCGTTTTGCGACAATGACTTTTCTTGTCATTTGACAATATATAGTTACGTTTGACAGAATATTATTAAGTATGAAATGTACAATGAAATTGATTACATTTCCATCAAAAATTAAATTTAATGCATGAAAAACACATTTCAAAAAATCTTTTTTTTTTCAACTATGTTTTCCTTTTTTTTTTTACATTTGTAAACTAATTATCAATAAATGACTAGTCACTTCCTGTTTTGAAGAAAAATCAAAAGATATTTGAGAATGACACACAGAACTGCTTTTTTATTTAGCTTGTATTCCCTCAAAAAATGAAACATCAGAATGTACACAGTTGTTTCCTGAGAACTGCCACCCGTCCTTTGACAAGATGAGTGACAACCTTGCCTGTCCTGCTTGTCTCTCAGGATGGACTGGAGATTATTGTGATATAAGTAAATACCAATAAAATTTTATACATCTTAGTCTCATCATAGGTATAATATGAAACCATTTTCTTCTAGCTATACATGTACGTATTTTGAATATGCTTTAGATGAAAAGTTGTTCTTTAGTTGCATGTTTTTACCTTGCCTCAGTGACAAATCTAAATCTAGATCATAATACCCACTAGATTTAAGATTTATTACTTCATGAAATATATGGAGATAACGAACAGTATTCAAGCTAAAAATAGTCCATTAAACAATAAACATAAAATGCAAAGTTGGCTACTTCATTTCAGCATAAATATGATATTCTATTTCAAACCAGAATATTTATACATACCCTGAACAAAATGCACGAAAACAATTTATATTGTACAGAATTGACAATCGCCAGTTGTATCTCTGAAGCCACAAGAAAGAATCATTTCGTCACATGCGATGTGCTCATCCAATTTAAATAAGATATTTTGGGGAATTTTTTTAAATTTAATTATTTTATCATCCTCAGATTTCTACTTCTCCCCTAGGAGTACTCGAGTATAAAAGCTAGGGCTGTTAAAATATATATTTTCCTTAGTCGAACATTCAATTGCATTATTCGAACGATAGTCGACTATTAGGAAGATTTTTTCATAAATAATCTCATCGATAGAAGATTTATAACTCAAGACTATATTCGTAAATTTATGTAAAAAGTAACATCAAATGCCTGTATTGCAAACCGAATCTCAGATATAAGAGTTAAGATAATGAATATTGAAATAGATGTATATCAGTGATTCCCTAAAATTCTCCTCACATTCAATGGCCTGTACAGTTAGTTTCATTCCGGTAAGCTTACAGAATTGTCAGCACGATTCTTTTAAAGCTTATTAAAATTAAAAAGGGGAGAGATTTTATAATTGGTACATGTCCATTTAATAATTTTCAAATTCATTTTTGGAGTTTAGTATATATAATTGAGAAATAATTATCGCGGTATGTATAATAACTAACTTTACTTTCCATAAGTACAATGTGGAAAATTATATACTAGTACTGTGAAGGCAATTGATCTCATATTCGTCTGAGGACTGTACTATAATGGTATGAGAAATAATTTGGTTTTTTGCACTTCTGAGATGAGAATTTCTTTATCACCTCTATTTTTTGCATTTATTTAACCCCCTTCCCCGCAGTCACGCATTTTAACGCATATACCATTTCCTATTTCTAACGCAAAATCACGCATATACCGTTTCCCCGCAATCACGCATTTTCACGCACTTTAAAAAGTTCACTTTATCGTTAATTTAATGCCAATTTCCTTCTATTTTATACTTGCATTAATCTCATCAAAGAAAAACAGTCATTTTTGTATTAAAATATAGCGTTATAATATTATTTACGCTAAATTTTAGAGAAACGTGTACCACGCTATAAGGTGCTTGCGGGGAAATGGTAAATTTCTATTTCTATCACTTGAACATTTAGTGTACGTTGCATGCAAGTTCAGTAAGTTGTAAAGAGTTAATATTCAAGTGTCGTTTTATTATTCGATCGTCGATCCATTCGACTGATGGTCGAATAGTCGACTATTCGTTGACATCCCTAATATGTACAGGCATTCTCTTATTTCTTTAAATAACCCTTCTTGTATATTTTCATGAATCTAAGAAATTAAATTGTTTAATTAAAAAATTAGATTTTCATTCTTTGAACAAATCACAGTAATTATTATTATTTTTTTAAATAAGTGATATCCTGGCGTTCAAAGCAATTATTGTCACGATTTGTTTTCAAATTTTTCCTTCATATTTTGATAAGATTTTTGAAAAATGAAATTAAGATATCATTAAACATACATGGTACATTAGAAATAACTTTTTCTACTTTTGGTACTCATAGTACTATAGAATAAAAATCTAAATTTACTAATTTCATCACCAAATACACTTTTTTTTTCTCCTTACATAACCAATCTTGATTTTATTTCAAGTAAATTCAATCCTTTTGCTCAAGATACTCCTCCAGGCTTAACTTATCAAGTAAGATGCATGCGTACAAGCAAGACCTATTTTCCTAGTACATTCGTACATTTCACACCCTGAATTCACACCTCTGCTTGCATTAAGCAAGCAAAGAGGCATAATTGTATTCACTGAATAAACAAAGGGCCTAATCAGGAAAATGCACACATTTTTTCATGTGTGGTATATATTTTAAAAAATTACCACTTTAAAATTTCTTTTCGCCATTTTTGAAAAAGAGATTAAAGTAGATATTGGTGAAAATAGCGAACCACAGTCTGAGTGCTGGAAGGGATACAAAGATGAATTAATATATCAGCATTACTTAGTATCATTTGTCAAAATTATTGGAATAACATACAAGTGACTTTTTGTTTAATCAAAAACTGTTCACAGTTAATTTACCTGATATAATGCTTTTGTAATTGTCATATATTAAAAGATTGACATAATCATTAATATTTCTTTTGAAAAGAAAAAGAACATAGATACTGCAAATACCATAAGGGCAGAACAATAGACAATAAAGGAAATTGTACCCGACGAGAGCACTGCCTTGGGGAGTTTCGGAAATCCGATGGACAATGTACATCTCCAAAGAACCAGTGTGAACCAGGATGGATGGGTCCGGGATGTCAGTATGGTAAAGATTATTGAGTGTCTTTATCAATAAGTAAAGCAAATTGTAAGCTTTCTTATATTGTCCTGGTATAGCAAAGATGAGAGTATAAGGACCGACACTATCCTTTTTGTGAATCGTTACTTTTCAACAAAATTTTTTCCAGATATAGACGCTAAACGGATAATTTGAACTTTTTATTCTATTTATTTCTTGTTAGTTAGACTTTTACTTTTTCAATTGTCAACTACCCTTATGCATGCAACAATAAACCCTTATTACCTGCATATGTGGTAAATATCTCTCAGTTGATTCGATTTTCAAGAGCATGTCCTACGTATGATCAATTTCAAAAGCGATGTAAGTCTTAAAGAAACAAGTTGAGGAAACAAGGATGTCAACATTCTAGTCAAAATAATAATTTCATAAGTTCTATGGTCGATATATGTACGGTGACCTAGTCAGGAAATACGATATATCATGAACGTTTTCCAAATCATTGTTGGGCCGTTATTTTCACAATGAATTGTTGGTGGGTATTTCCGATATCTTGAACATAATTTAAAACCCGTGCGGATTTAACTGGTCAGCAAGGGATTATCACTACTACATATAGCACCTGATTCAAACTCTGATGGTTAAGAGGTCCGTGTCTGCTCTGCTCCTGATTTGTATTGTTGTCCCCTAATTTCAATGAAAATTGTAGATATTAATTTGGTTCCGTCCGTCAGCCTGTCTCCCTGTCTGTCTGTAACCCTTCCGTTTTAGCGCGTTATAATTATCTCTAGAATACTAAGCTTTTGCAATTAAATTTTACATTGCAACTCTCTGTGGTCTACGGAAGACTCTTCTGTATTTTGAGATCCTAAGGTCAAGGTCGTAAATTCATAAATACTATCTATTTAATACATTTATATTTCCACAAAATATCTCCAAAAGAGATTTTGATATAAAGTTTTATACCACATGACGTAATAATCTCTCTTGATGTTATCCTAATAGGTAATATAGTTCTCTGTGCACTTCCGTTGCTTTTACCTAAGAAAATGTCAACGTTCTGACTGGAATGCTGTTTAAGGAGAAATTGTGGGATTCTAACGAGATGCAGAGTCAATCCGATAGCATGTTCTAAGTCAGAAATATATGTTAATACAGTGTGATCGACATTTAATGTACAAGTATGGTATTTTTTGTGGAGGGAATATTTTGGGTTTTTATGATTTATTCCTATTGTATACATGATGAATAAGTGTAATGAATATAATTTGAGAAAAAAAATGTCCGATAAGCCCCGGGATTAAATATTGGGGGGGGGGGGGGATTCCTGTCTACAATTACCTGTGGCTCACCTGAGCCGACTGCTTAAGTAAGTTTTTCTAATCAAACTCTCCGTTGTTTGCGTTGTTTTTGCCTTAGCTGCTGTCACCGTCGTCGTTGTAAAATTTTTACATTTTTAAGAAACAGTGGGCCGATTTTAACAAAATATAGGATATCACTGGGTGAATGATTTTTAGATATGTTCAAAGTAAATGCCAAACCGTCATCCAAGGGTAGCTACGAGCTAAATAATGGTGAAAAATGGTTGGTTCATTTAAAAATCTTCTTAAGACCCACCAGACTAGAAAAGATTAAACTTATGTGAACTATTTCTTACATGTTGTAGATTGAATTTTCTATTTAACTAAAAATTGCCCAAGGTAAAGGATAGGGTTAATGATAGGCAAACGAGCTTTTTCTTGTAAATATAAAGTAATATTTTAAAGAGACTAACTTTCTTGAGAACAACAAAACCATGTACAGTCATAGTAAATTCTATTTTGTACAAACTACAATTCATTTAAATTATAAATTTACGTGATGTTGTGTGAAAATTAGTTTAACGTAAGAATATGTAGATAAAATAATCTTTTAATGACCAAAATAGGCGCCATATTTACATTGATGATCTTGTTTTTGGAGAGATTTATCTCAGAGAGTTCTGTACTAATATTCTTATACAGTGTTCGAACATTTCATTCATCTCCATGATTTAGAAAACTAAAAGACGTTAATATGCTCTCATATTGTCTGTATAATATCATGACTTTTGTGTTTCTATGGCATTTCATGTGGGAAAAAAAACAATAGGCCCATGGGCCTCATAGGACACCCGAGATACAAAAATATGGGACGATGAAAATGGAGAGGTTGAGGTCATCACAATAGTCATTAACTGTTTTCGAAAGATTACCATTCCCGTCTTTTGCAGCAATTCATATATGGTTACCCTAGCACTGTAAGTCAACATATCATTTAAGTACATGTACTGGTACTTTAAATCTGCTTTTTTTTTTTACAGTGAACTTGGCATACAGATCGTCCTCTTCCATTGCAAGCCTTGATGGAAGCTTAAATACATCTGAGCAGATTTTAGAAATACAAATTGAATTTAATGGAAGTTTTATAATATCGGCCTTGATTATTCATGGTAATGTACTGATATTTCTTTTAAGCTAAGAAGGAATTTTTTTTTAAAGGGGGAAAAATAGTATCTTAAAATATGGATTTTGTCTTTTAAGATTTTTTTTCTTTTTTTCAGGTAAACAATCAAACAATGTGACAATAAAAACTCCAAAAAACGAAACATGTTACATGGGTAACATAAAAGAGGGCTCCCATATCGTGTTCTGCAATTTTATTTTGAGAACAAGAAGTTTGTTCATTTCATTCTTAAAAAAGCAAACTGTTATGGAAATAGAAGTTTTTGGAGGTTTGTATTCAATTTCTACTGATAATTTTTTGAACATAATTTACACGCATAAATAGATATCAACCTTCTGCTTGCAATTGTATATATCTTAAATTTAATCTGTGCATCGAGATTCTTTTACATATTTTTCAAACAATATTGGTCGTCCGCGTTTCGAAGTGGTTAGAGTGTTTGCTCTACAATCGCGGAGAAAGTAGTTGATCTTTCTGTCGCAGGTTCAAATCTAACTTGGGGACATGAAGACGTACCGGTCCTTCGGTTGAGACCGCGTAAATCGAGGTCCCATGTCACAGTTGGTGTTGGCACGAAAAGAACCCCTCTCAAGTTCCGAGTATAGGACAAAATTTGCAGCTCTCCACTGGCAAGTGGTGGCGTTTCCATATAAGCGAAAAATTCTGGGGATGTTAAACATGTTATAAACAAATAACAAAATGTGGTACTCTGATCAATACGCTATTTTTTACAGCAAAACACTATGCATGAAACATATGGAGAAAACGAACCATATTCAACATCAAAGGTCCATAAAACAATACAAAATAGGAGCAGAACAAACAGGACCTCCAAACTACACAGGTGGGGCCAGGTGCCATGGAGGAGTGAGCATTCCCTGCCGACCGGTCACACCCGCCGTGTGCTTCTTGTCTTGATCGGGAAATAAAGGAAAAATCCGTCGTCAATTCAGTGTTTAAATAATGGACTAACAATTAGTATGAAAAACATCAGTCAGCATTTGATTCAATGATAAATTGTATTTGCTGGCAAGGTCCTTGTATCGACAATAGAACTTACAAAATGATGACTTTTAACTAGACTGTTGATATTCGAGTTTCATCAATTTGTTTATCAATAATTTACCTCATTTTAGAAACTGTTTATTGGTAAAGCATGCTCGTGCGTATCGAATCAACTGAGATACAGATACTCCGCATGCAGGTGATGAAGGTAGAGTGCTGCATAAGTGAGGGATGTTGACGATAGAAAAATTAAAGTCATTGCGTTTATCATAGAGCTTGGTTGTTAGATTACCATGAACGCATTTTCGAGTAAAATATCCAAATATGAAATAGATGTGTTAGACCTTGTGGTATCTTTTTTCTCAAGCTCACCAGGATATATCGTATCGACATGTGAATAGAAAATACAATTGTTAATTGACAACACGTCGTCAATATATCTAAAAATCGAGTTGAAGGCCACAGCAAGTATTTTCTTCTTTTCACGCATAGGATTTTGCACAAATTCTGCATTATATGAATACAAACACATGTCTGCTAATAACGGAGCGCAATTAGTACCTATGGGAATTCCAGTAGATTGTTGGAAGGCCTGCTCACAAAACACCATAATATTGTCAATCAGAAACTCAAGCATCTTTTTGATGTCGACTTCAGAGAACTTGTTTGTACAATCAGAATATTTTGTATGAAAATAATTTTGGAAATAACCTACGACAAAGTAAATTTACGAGTTACATATGAAACCATGCAATTGCAAGCAAACTGGAATGACACTTTATTAAAATAATCGAATAATTGTCTTTATCTTAATTGAAATTTGAATTGATAAATGCATAAAACTCCTTTTTATTTTGAAATACCTATTGTTATGAATGTTCAGGTAATTTTTTTTCTGAGATTGTCATATGCACCTCTATTCATACATGGATTCTAGAAAACAAATTTTATTGAGGGCTTTGATTACAGCTGTTACAAAGTATTATGCTTATATCAAAATCTTAAAATGCAATCTTTAAGTTTTAGTATAAATGCAGAGCGAAACTGACTAGTAAATCAGTTTGTCATAACATGTCTTTCAGCGTTTTTTTTTTTTTTTGTTTTTTTGATAAACAACCAAAATATGCAATTGTGAACAAAATCAATGCACAGGCCTGCTTCTAAACAAATACAGGTACCGTAGATACTGATGAGCTTTGATATTAATGACAGTTAAAATAAAATTCAATTAATGTTAAATTAGACTGAAACGTGGTTCATATCTTTCAAATAATTTTCAGCTTGAATGCTTCGTATCGTTTTTTGAGTAGCATTTTTTTCCCTTCATTTTCTTTTTTTTTTCTTTTTCTCCCATTTCATTGTCTTATTATGTATATCATATACTTATACCTTTGACCTGAATGTATATATATATATATATAAATATATGCTGTAAATATTTTTCATTGTCCTCATGTACCATGAAGTTTAAATGGTTTTGAGTGTATAAATGAACTTGAACTTGAACTTGAACTTGAGAAAAGTAACATGTCGCTTACAAGACTTAAGATTATTTCCACTGAGTCAAAGTATAGGGCTTTTTCAAATTTCACCATGGCATTCGACTGAAGACATGCAATACATTTAAGAGTATAAAATGTTATTCTAAATAAATTTCATCTTAAAGAAAAAGCAACATATCTTAATTTTATATTCTCCTTGAATTATTGTTTGTCTTTAATTTAGATACCTGGGGTATATAATGTAGTATAACATTTTATATGCTTTAGATTGTTTTGTTTACGTATTTGGTTCTTTTAGGACGCAATGTTGCACTGTGGAAAAAGACCACGCAGTCATCAATTTACAACAATACTTTAACATCACCTGACAAAGCTGTAGATGGATGGGATAGCGGAGGAGATTTATTCAATGACTCATGCACACACACTTATGAGAAACATGAGACTAATGGCCCTTTTTGGAATGTTGATCTTGGAAGCCCATATTCCATTATGTCAGTCCGCATCGCAAATAGAAACAAATACGGTTTGTTATTTTCATATTTTATGTTTGTTCAATTTTGATTTTTTTTTTTTTTTTTTTTTTTTTTGCCTTGTAGTTATAGTTCGAATAAAGGAGAAGATACTAAATGATGAAATAATTTTAAACAAATACTAAGTGTAATGACTCGTTAATTATATACAAATTTTGAATTGTTTTCAGATATTTTACATAATCAAAGGCATCTTCTTGTTTACAATAGATTTTATTGCTTTAAGTTTTGTCAGCTGAAAAATTATATTGATTTTAAAATTTCGATTGAAACAAGATATTTAATCATATCAATATAGTACTGTCGAAATAAAAGCAATAAAATCTGTTAAACAAAAGAATTTGCCTTTAATTATGTAAAGACATCTTTATACAATTCAAAATATTCGTATAAATAAGGAGTTATTACTGATTATAGGTTAGAATTTGCCTTTAATTATGTAAAAACATCTTTATACAATTCAAAATATTCGTATAAATAAGGAGTTATTACAGATTATAGGTTAGAATTTGCCTTTAATTATGTAAAAACATCTTTATACAATTCAAAATATTCGTATAAATAAGGAGTTATTACAAATTATAGGTTATTATATCGCTTTATGGACTTTGATACATTGAATACTGTTCGTTATCTTTATATTCTTCATTTTGATGAGACGATAAAATATAAGACCCTATATACACAGTTATAACAAAACATGTGTAGAGCCATTTATGTTTCCTTTTATAATCCTATTGATATATAATTATGTCAATTGCATATCTCAAAATCTATCAGAGTTTTTCGGTATCTTCTTTTTTCAAATTAAACTGTGCAAAATACTAGTAAGCAACTGTCCTGTACGTGCTCAATACCACATAATTCTAATTACCCAAACAAGTGTCGCAGATTGATATATGTAAATATTACGATATTTTACAAATCATTTACAATGCTGTTTTAATGCATGAAGATTCTAAACTGATTTGTCAGATCTCAATATATATAGAAGGGCATATATATTCAACGAATGAAGAAAATTTGTAATCGAACTGAATTCCTAGTTTAAAATCAAAACTCATGATCGAGCATTCCGTTTTGCTTTATTTCAATATGTTTTGCGCACGGGCATATAAGGATGGACCTAACGAAAATATATGAAATCAAAATTTCTTATTCCAAATTCGTTGGTAAAGGTACATCAAACACCTCTATATTCATATATTAACATTTTGCAGAACAGAGAATAAATGGATTTCGATTATTTGGACTAAACTTTACAAACTTGAGGCAGTTGATGTATACAGATCCAGGAAATGCTACTTCAAGAAGTTCAGTTTGGGTAGACTCGTCAATTATGACATCATCTTTGTACCACACGATCATCATTGATGGAGAATATCTGGTTAAAAACGAAAGCAGATACCAGATTCTCGCGCTCTGTGAAGTAGAAGTGTTTGGTATTTATGGGTTTAATGCTATTCAAATGATTTCTATAATACAAAATCAAAAGGGCAACAAATTTCATACAGAATATAGTAAATATAGTTTTTTTCTAAACATATCCAGGAAGAACTAATATTTTGGTTATTAAAAAGCAATAAATTATCATCTATTTTCTTTTGAAACAACCGTTCACTGTAAACTAGTGGTAGAGCGTTCGTTTCGTGATCGGGAGGCCTGGGTTCGATTATCGTTCGCGGCGCCGCGTCAAACCTAAGACGTAGACATAAGTAGTGACTGTTTCTTCGCCAAGGGCTCGGCATTGGAAGTAAAGGTCACGGGTCTTTCAGAATGTCCTTAAAAACGTAGGACCTGTGTCATGATATGGCACGATAAAAAACCCTCACTGTTCAATGGCCCTGAGTGCCGAGTATAGGTCTACATTTGATGCCCTTCACCAGCAGACGGTGACATCTCAATATGAGTGAAAAATTCTCGAATGGGACTTTAAGCGCTATACAATCAATGAATCTTTTGAAACAAAAATGTACGACGGGATTTCTGAAATGTATAGGAACGTTGTGAGGAGCACGACAACCAATGAAATCGCGGATGAAATTTATTTTTTTTTTTTACTTTCATATTTTATAAATATCATCTTCTTGTGGAAAATTGGAGGACTTAAGAATGCCAAATATGATTGAGAAAGGATTGACTATTTTTATTGTTCACATCCATTTTGAAAATAGGTTGATATAAAAGTACGAAGCATAAAGTCGTAGACAAAGACTATAATTTAATCGTCTGCATTTTAAAGAATTATTTAAGGGATAACTGTCTAGTTATTATAGTATGCCAGGGCATCAACGATAGTGGGAAACATTGTATAATTTGCATAACGGGCGAATGCATAAGTTATCCAATTGAATATAGTGGAAATATAAGAACATAAACAATAGTGCCCGTTATGCATAAATTACCCCATGTTTCCCACTATCGTTTATGTCCCTGGCATACTATACTAACTAGACAGTGATTCCTTAAATAATACCCTCTTCGTAAAACAATTCATCAAAAAAATTGTGCCATTTATTTTTTGCTAATGTCACTTACTAATGAATTCTCATTTCAGCTTGCAGATTAACAGAAAATAGAGGAGAAGACTGTGTTAGTTTTTGTCCTAAAAACTGCCAGCAAACAGAAAAGTGTTTGAATAAACAGTTTACCTGTCCTAATTGCAATCCTGGATGGAAGGGTCCTCATTGCACACAAGGCAATGTTTTCCTATTTTAGTTTTTGGTCATTCAATCATGCATTTTTATCATATTTGAAATAATTCTCTTAAATTGTTTTTTTTCCTTCTCATTTCAGTCGTTTCTTGTAAAAGACCAGATCTTGCAAAAAGAAATATATCCCTTTCTCCTGATTATACCTCTTATGAATTTAATACATCGGTACATTTTACATGTCACGAAGGATTTATAAACCTGGGATATACGCAAGCAGTTTGTGGACCAGCGGGGATTTTCATTAACACTAACCGTTCTGCCAAATACATGTATCCATCATGTGAAGGTACATGTAGCAAAAAAAGCGTTGCACATTATAAGAATGTGATGTCGTGTTATACACCTTTTCGCACTAAAAATTCTAAAAATTGTTTTTAATTATTTAAAAAATATCTTTTTTATGATTTTGTTCCTTTTTATAAGTACATGTATATCAAATACCTATAATTTAATATATTTAAATCATCTTTACAGCTATAACTTGTTCTAGTGCTGACAATCTATCGGATATAATAAAGACTCCTTCAAAGCTGAAGTATAACTACCATGAGAGGATAAACTTTTCTTGTGCAAGTGGATACTCTCTACAAAAACCAACAACAGCTGTGTGCGAAAAAGATGGACTTCAATATACAGATGGATCTCCGAATTGTACAGGTAAAATGTGTTATGCATGCAGTTCTTTTGTCTATTTAATCGCAATTACTAACGCTTTATCTTTCAACATTTTTTTTAGAAATACAGTGTAACAGATCAACTGTAACAAGCAGCAATCTGTTCTTAGATCCTCTAGAAGAAATGTATGCATTTAATGTGACCATAACCTTTTCATGTAAAAAGGGATACAACTTAAAAGGCTCTAAGTCGGGGAAATGTTTACAAAACAACATTTTTGTTTTTATGCCTGACGATGGAAAGCCATATTGTGAAGGTAAAACTGTCTTCCAGCATACACACGTACTTATAAACAGCATGTAAATCCAAAATTAATGACAAAACATAAATATCTATTTATATTTCTATTCTAAAGAGTCTTAATTTCAATCTCTTAACACTTCGTTTATCATTGAAAAATATAATACTTTCTTGTTAATAACTTGAATTTTATTTCCAAAAAACAGACACACTTTCTTAACCTCTTTAAATAATTAAATTTTGTCTTTTTGTGATAGAACTTAACAACTCTCAACACTTTTTGATGGCGGGTAATACATGCATCTTTTAATAATGTTGAAATCGCGGAATCTATACGTGTTTGGTCTACCTGATAGAGTTTTTTTTATATTAAATATGTATGTGATAGTCAGTACAATAAGGTAACTAATACATGAGTATCTGCTAATAATAGTTTTCTTGTGATATTACTTATCAATGTTTCCTTCAACTACATGCAGTATGCATGTATACAATAAAAAAATAAAAATTCATTGAAGATTGTACCACAAACTAAATGCAAAATATGAAACATTGAAAGGAAAATAACATTTGTTAAGGCAATGTATTTTTGAAATCCATTTGGAATTATTGAAATTAAATAAAAAGTCTATTAAGAAAGTTATGATATCATGTCAAGTCAAATTTTCTTTTTTCAAGATCACTTCCATGATAGATTCTCGAAATATCAATGGGATATAATTAAGAACTTAACATGTATATTTGTTGATGGTTGTTAATTCTAACGTAATGCTTGAAAAAAATCTAAAACGATTTAAAATGTCCAGTAGGAAAAATAAAAGGAGAGAGTTTCCGAAGAAACTGACGACAAAAAGTTACATGACGTCAAGTGTTCTGTGACTGCTGCTATTTGTATCCCCCAGGTATTATTGGAACCGATAAATATCGGTAAATACTTGAAGTGAACTAGACCAGGTCAGACAAGAAATGATTTGTCACAGGTATAAATAAACATTGAAGGGAATAATCAGCACGGTTCATTTTATCTTTTCTTCGACCAAGGAAGCTTTATACAATGGTACCTTACCCTAAAGTGAAGGCAAACATTTGGAAACTGAATCAAATTTCCATACACGTATTATCGTAGGATTTTCAAAATAATTTCAGAAAACCTTTTTTAAGCATCTTTATGTCTCTCGCGAACGTTTCATCCGATTCGTGATACTGCGTGTGTTTTACTTTCTTTACAGCCATACGGTGTAATGAAACAGCTATTGATATTCCCAACATAATAATTGAAGAAAGCAAATTTTACAACTCCAACGAAAAAAAAACATTTGTATGTTCAGAGGGCTTTATCAGACATGGATCAGAAAATGGAACGTCTGATGCCACAAACAGTTTTCTGTTTTCCTCCGAAGATGGCAAACCATGATGCCAAGGTTGTTTTAATCGGAATTTGTGAAAATATATCTCTACAATGAAGAGAATTTCTCTATTGATAAAACGTACAATGGTCTTTATATTCTATCACTAGTCTGTTATATTTAAGTGCATCCTTTTATATCAATAATTTATATTTGCAAGAAGGAATAGTTTTGCAAGATATAGTACCGTTCACGGTAAAAACCACATGTCCAAACCATACCCTGTCAAGTACAACCACTGTAGATGACATGATTCAAACTCATAAATTCACGATGAGAAGCAAGTGTGCTTCCTCCTATTCTACTTGCCGCCAATTCCTGGACACTCAAAAGTGAAACAATCCTTTAACGTTATAACTGCGAAAATTACTCAAAAATATTTGATTTAGAATTGATTTGATATATAGTGAGGAATCTTGGGTTATGGTGCCAATTTTAATGAGATGTGTGTTGCAGCAATTTACGTCTCTTCATCAGTGATGTTAATGCCGAAGTATGGTAATCCGAAATATTTCAAATAATGGACATCCTTGTCATATGTGCCTTTGTTTTCTTTCCACCGCAATAACGTGCAACGTTTCGGCCATAAAAATTGAAAATATATTGAAGGATGCTACAATTATCTACAAATACAATGAAATAAAAGAATTTAAGTGCAAAGAAGGTTTCATAAACAATGGATCAAATAAGGGGACATGCAAAATTCAAGATAAATTTGAATTTTCATCCGTAAGTGGTGAACCTTTTTGCAAAGGTATGAAGCTTCCTCTATTTTTCAAGACATAATGCACCTTGAATTATTTTTTGATGATAACTTTTTTCTTTAAAAATTGTAGCAAGAATTTTGACTTTTAATAATAGTATTACAAAATTGTGTTGAAATTCATAAAGAGAAAAAAGGATTTATATAAAAGGATTTATGTCAATTGGGAAAAATGAAAGAAGCGTGTAAATTTTCCTGCCTAACAACTAATATCAGATACTGATATAGCTATTAAAAGCAATGCTAGTTCAACAAAAATTATAAAGCTTAAAAACATAAAGAAGGGGACATGCAAAACTCAAGATGGCTTTGAATTTATATAATAAGTTTTTGTTGTTGTTGTTATTGTTGTGTTGTCTTGTGCAGCAACAGGCTCAAAAACTTTCCAATAAAAGTAGAATCTTGCGGGTTATGTCAACAAAAATGCAGAAAGAATCCAATATATTTTTGTTTGGAAATTATACTTTGTCGCAATGTTGTGGGGATAAAATTAAGAGGATCTATTACAAATCTGATGTTACGCTTCTACGAGGGGTACAGAGCATTGCTTTTGATGCAGATTTACAGAGCATTGCTTTTGATGCAGAGAAAGTCGATCATTTTCAAGCAATCATCGGAGCTTTGTCTGGAGGGATACTTGGTGGAATTGGTATATTGGTATTTATTTTTATCGCACTGATACTCCTCAGGTATAGTGTTTTTAAACATTGTTTTAAGGAAATTGTATTTCACTTATAACATATTTACTATTTATTTTAAATATATTTTTCTTTACCTTGCTTAATATAATTTTTTTTATTAATTCGTAAAAACAACCCTTTCTTGGTGAAAATGGTACATTTCTCAATAATTTTAATTTTGGATGTATCGCATCTTTCAATTGGATAAAATGTTTGATTTATATCGCATAATATATGTTGCCTACGTCATAATAACTTACGTCAAAGCAGTATTATTCCGCTTATTTTTACTTATGAACTATGCTCAATTAGAATTAAGGCATTTTAAAGGAAAATTGTTTTATTGACTACAATAAATGAAAAAATTAAATTATATGAAATAAATTTAATAGCTAACAAAGTTATTCTGATAACAATTTATCGCTTATATTATACTAACATGGACTTGATACAAAATATATCATTTACAAAGGAGGAAATCAAAAATAAAAAACGCAGCTAATGCCTGTCCCCCAGACAACGAGCAAATGCTAAGCAACTTGGATAATCAATATGCAGCGGTTGACCCAATAAGGAAGAAAACAGGAATTATAATCACTGACCTAACAACAGGCAAGTCATTTGTAATTCACAGCTTTAAAGTAACATCTTATGGACAAGTCTATTCCTCTTGAAATTTAAAATTCATTGCATCTTATTTTTTACTTTGTAAAAAATCACTCAATAGGTTTCCATCAAATAATAAACACAGATATGAAAATTAATAGCTAGTTTTGTAAGCTTTCAAAGGAATAAATGTGTCGTCTTCTTTTTAGCATAAAAGAGGTAAATTCAAAATATGGTCGTCTATTATTTTACTACCGGATTTATACTACTTCTTCGTGTATTAACCTACAAGTACAATTAAAAAAATCATAGTAAGACTGCAATGCAATCACAAATATCCCTATCCCTCAAAGTTGGTCTCCATTTGCTTGGCAGGTGACAAAAAATTGCCTTCGAAATATGTATTTTATATACATATAGCTCATTTAATGATTTTATTTTATCATTTTATACAATATTTAATATAAATGGAATTATTTGAATTTTTCTGTAGAGATAAACGACGGATCACAAACATATGAAAACGTGAGCGCAACAAATAAAGATAATTTGAATACACCAGATCAGAATGTTTATTATGAGTTTTTACCAGCTTCAAAGCCTTCGGAAACTGCCATCAAATTATCAATGTTCAAGGACCACGTGGAGAACAGAAAGAGAGAAAACAATTTCTTCAGCAATCAATTTAAGGTAATTTTCTATTATTGACAAACCATTCAATTTTACAGTAATGTTAACGTTAATTCCTTCTTTTGATTTCTGGTAGATTAAATAAAGGCAATAATAAATTCTTAACGATTGCCTGTGCAAAATATTGACAACACTATTCTTCGCTTTATGATTTATCCTTTAAAAAGTCTTCCGGATTTTACATGTAGTCTTCTTTTCAATATTGCAAAAAATAGACCATTTTCGCTTTGAATGTAACTGAAGAAGGTCCAATCAAGATACTAAATTATTATTGATTACTTTTTTATTGTTCACACAAAGTATATAACGGAAGTATGTAGGTGCCAGGACGAAAAAAAATAATTTACTAAAGAAAATGATAAGGCGGCGGCCCAAAAAAAGAACTGGTGGCTGCCAATAATTTCTGGTGGCCTTTAGATCTTTATTTTGCAGACATATAAAGCTAGAGGGCGGCAGCCGATTATTGATTATTGATGGCATCTGACAGATAATTATTTGACGACCACTACATTTTTTCGTTACCTTGCACCTGCTGAAGTATTTCTTAAAATTATTCATAGATATGAACTTTGAAGATTGATTTTTTTTTTACTTTACTTCGATGGGATCGAGAGAGAGATTAAGATTTAACCAGATAAAGAGAGAGAGAGAGAGAGAGAGAGAGAGAGAGAGAGAGATTAACCACATCACCTGCCACTTCTTTTTTAAAGAAAGCCTAACAGCAGTATTTTTCACTTCAGAAATTTTATAATGGTCTTCAGTTTCCGGCCACGGCTGCTGTAGCTTCTGGCAATAAGTCGAAAAACAAATATAAGCACGTCTATCCATGTAAGATTTCATCCTGATTTATCTTTGTGATATGTATTCTCTTCCTTAAATGATAAAGAAACTTTTTAAGTGATAAAAAACATTTCATGAAGTATTCTCCTCCTTTACTAATAAAGAAACATTTTAAGTGATATAAATATATTTTAATACTTGGTCAGTACTAGTATTGTTTTGCTGCGACTATCTTGCTTTTCATTATTTTTATGAAAATGTTTAGAATGATTAACATTTTTTCAATTTTATTTTTTTAATGATATAAATAGACGATGAAACACGTGTAAAGCTAAACATAGAAAATGATCCTGGAAAATCAGATTTCATCAATGCATCCTTTATACACGTATGTATCCTATTACAGGTCTATTTCAAATTAAAATCATACAATTGTGTAAATAATCACTAGTATCTTTTTTCATAGCGAAACCTCTTCGGAGTCATTTCTTGTAATTAATTTCTTAATAAATTTTAACATTGATCTGATCGTAGGGATATGGAAAAGTAAAGGCATATATTGCGGCACAAGGTATAAAATGCAATCTATGACATATAAAATAATGATAATTTATAAAATATAAATCTGTATAGCTTTTATTTTAAAAGTAATTGTTTCTTATAAAATAATTAGCTATATGAGTAATTCATTTTACTAAAAAACCTTTTCAGTGCGTAATAATGTGTAACTACTGTTGGGAACTTTAATTGCAATATCACAGTGTTCTACTGTTTTCTATCTAAGGGCCTTTGGTAGATACTATTGACGACTTCTGGTCATTGGTATGGAATGAAAATTGTGGGAAAATTGTGATGCTTACAAACTTAAAGGAGAATGACAAGGTGATATGAAGCTTTGAAAATGAACAGAACAGTCTGTTAACGAATGTTTTTTCCCTAACAATGTTTCGAGGAATCATTATTTTTTCCACAGGTCTTTAATTCCTCTAAATCAACAGACAAATTTGAATGAACATTATAGAGATGTATAGACCTTTTCATATAGTTTACCCAAGATTGCCAATGAAATAATCATAGAATAAATAATTAAAATTCCACTCTCTAGTCACATATTCATATTTATATGGAAACTAAATTGCCGCAAAAATGTCATTCCTAAATTGCGTATAGTTTTTTAGATATGCTGAGATCAATTTCGAAAGAAAATATTTCAAAATTTATATATTTTTCATGCATTTATAAGAATGATCCTTAAATTTGTATTTTTTGTTTAGATTGATATATGCTTCCACATAACTTTCAAAGAGTTATCACAGAGAAAACGAATAGAAATGGAAATGGAAATATTAAGGACACATTTCATTCAATATGGGTATTAAAAACTCATTGAACTCTCTCAAGTCAATCAGAAATTGGATAAAAGTTTGGCAAAATTGATAGATAGATAAATAGATCCTTCTAAATAAAAACGATCTTCATGTTTAGAATTTGGCCCACTAAAATTCAACTGCATCTACCACATACATACATGGATTACTTCAAGACATCAAACCGTTGGAGTACAGTAACAACCAAAGCTTCTGGCTATTGAATAGTATCATTCATTGTAAATGTTCTTTCAGATAAAATGCATCCAATACTGGCCTGAGAAAGGCCTTATGAAGAAAGGAGAATTAATCATAGAAGTTGTAGATACTGAAGAGTTTGCAGACTTCATAATTCGAACATTTTGCATTAAAAAGGTAATAATGTATTTCAATTTTTATTTAATTTCTTAGCGACTTATCGTATTTACAGTAATTATATCTTGAGATAATTAACATCTGTTTCAATTACCAGGAAAGTGGACAGAGAATCATCCGACATTTCCACTTTACGGCATGGCCAGATAAAGGAGTTCCTCTCTACGCCTCATCTCTAGTTCATTTTCACTCAAAAGTGAAAAGTACTATCGCTCAGGGCAAAGGGCCTATGGTTGTGCATTGCAGGTTTTCTTTTCATTGTTACTTTTTGTAATGTTCTCTATTTTGCTGCTGTGTTTTACACTTGAGGAATCCTATTTTAATATATATATATATATATATATATATATATATATATATATATATATATATATATATATATATATATATATAAAATTTAGTGCTGGCATTGGGAGAACGGGTACCTTTATTGCGTTAGATGTCCTGATTCAGCAGGCCAAGGAATCGGGCTTTATAGACGTGTTTAGATGTGTGGAAACATTGAGACGACAACGCGTCAATATGGTGCAAACTCTGGTACGTGTGTTGAAATACCCTATAAGCAGAAATCTTAGCGAGAATTTAATTTTGGCATTATTATCGAGGGTAGTGGGATCGCTTAAATTGAATATCGCTAAAAATTAATTGAATTTTATTTATAATGGCTTCTTTAGTGAGCTTTTTAAAATCGCTAAAATCACTTCTCGCTTAAAATTTAAAAAAAAAAACATTTATACGAACAAAGCGCTAAATTTGCGTCTCGGTAAAATTTTCACTTATACGGTAGCTTAAAAATTTTTATTTTCTCGCTCTTTATACATGTAGTGATAAATATTTTGTATCTTGTAGTAGTGATTTAAATGCTGCTATATTTTCTTTAAAAGGAGCAGTATATATTTCTTCACGATGCCCTTGTTGAAGCATTAATGTGTACATCAACTGTTCCTTCAACGTCCGAATTTTCTCAGATTTATCAAAATCTGATGAAAGTAGACCCAAAAAGTGGCAAAAGACATATTGACCAATATTATGAGGTAAAGCGCTCTCGAATTGTTTCAGAAAGCTGCTTCGTTTCATAGAGGTACATTGGTGACAAAATGTGTATACTAATTTTGTAGAACCTGTGTACTGGTTGTGCTGAAATCCCTCAAGCTGCCTACGACTTTGCTAAGAAACAAGAAAACAGAAGAAAGAACAGATACAGCAATATTTTACCAAGTATTTTTAAATTTGAATAAGCTTTATTTAAATTTTAAGATCAAATGGACTTTCTTTATAAGAGATTACTTATCAATTATTTCTAGGTCAGAACCTGCACAAGCAGATATATGCATGCTTATTATAATTTTTTCTATAAAAAATATTACGAATAAACATTTTTTTTCTACAAACATTCCCTACCATGAAATAGTTTTTGTGCCGTCTGTCCATGGTGAAATGGTCATCAAACTATTCCCCCGCAGCATTATGTTTCCCTCGCTTTTTATCTCGGAAACCTATAGTTTTAACCGGATTGTGTCATTAGATTATGCCGTATAAAAAGTACAGAAAGTTTAGTCAGCATCGGTATAATAAACCACATAATTACTAACTATTAGTACAATAGCAAGTTTATCGTCACACTCGACAACAGATTTGGCTGTCTTGGGGGGCGATAAACTTGCTGTTGTCCTCATAGTCAGTAAATTGGTGTATAATGTACATGTAAGTAGTTAGGTAGGTACATGTAGGTGCCATTGTATATATGTAAGACGATTCCATATTTGTTTTTATATAACTGTTGGACAATTTTAAAGACCTGCTTGAATGAAGAAAAGTCAAGTTTATTCAGCTTTTCAAAGAAAATAGGAGAATGCACACATTTCGTATTGGAATGGCATTTGAAATTTCTTTTTAGTAACCAGTTAACAAGATAGGATTGCAGATGTTAAAGCTCTAAATTCGCAAGGTGCTTATTCTTTCGTTTTGGGTTCTAATCTTATAGAGGAACGTGCAGATTGATCTTCAGATGATACCATGTAAAAAAGATCCCGTTTCGCAGTAGGTGTTGACAAGGAAAAAGATCCCTTACTGCTCAATCGCAGTAGGTGTTGCCTAAATTTGCAGCCCTCACCGCAAGAGGTTACGTCTCAGTATGGGTGTATAATTTTCTAGAGGTACATTTAAACAATAAATAAACAATGAAAAGAGATTGTCTGCGATATCCTCCTGACATACAATGTTATTTATTATGTATACAGTCTTGCTTAAGTTATAGACCATAATCTGCGTCTGATGTCTAGTTAATATGGGCGGTCAAACTGATTGACAATCAATCTAAAGCTGATTGTTTATAGTAACATACGATTTCGGTGTGAATTTCGCTGTGAATTTACAGGTACTGAAACCTGTTATTTTTTAAATTTATCCGAGAATGATTTTGAAAATATACATACATAATAATATAGTTTTTATAGTTGAATCGTTGGATCGTTGGAATAAAACCATGCAAAATCGCGTGTTAAAAAAATTGCAGATAAAGGTTCTAATTTGTCTCTATTTTATATCGTGATCAACATTTCTATTTAGGATTAAAGATGTGATACATACTTTTAAAAGAATTACCTTTACATATGTCAAACAATTCTTTGATAATTGTTTTGCTCATTAATTGAGGTTTATTCATTTTATGTTTATTGTAACATATCTTCAGAAGACAATCTATGTTATGTTAAACTTTTATGAAAATTATGTACAGATATAACTATCAAAAAAGTTAGGACATGCCACAGATTTGGGATGAAAGATACAAGCCCATCTATATCAACGCCGTTTTCCTGCCAGTAAGCCAAGTATTTTTGTCCTATTACGTCTAAACATTTTTAGTGTGTTTTCCCCCAATTATAAACAATACGAATATGAACACAAAACAATATGAACATAAGTCAGAAAAATGAGGACCCCTTAAAAAGATATTAGAATTCCTCACATTGTTAATCATTTTTAGTCTTTTTAAACAATGTATCTTTTTACTTAATGTACCTTGTGAAAGTTACCAATAACGCTTCACGAAATGTTTATATTTAAACAATTATCTTTGTTTATTTTATGTACCTGTAAGTGTGTAAATTACCAGTATTTTTAATGTATATTTCAGGCCTACAAAAACAGGCACTCGTTCATAGTGACACAGATACCTCTCAGAGAGACCGTTGTTGACTTTTGGAGGCTAGTTTACCAGCAACGTGTTTCTACAATCGTTCTCCTCGGTGAAGTAGTAAGAAAATGTGTCAAATTTGGAACAGGTTTTCAATTATGTATTTTATATATAACGTATTAGAAATACAATTTTTTGAAAAATGAAATCAATTTTTTTTTTTATAAAATTGAGGTTTTAATTTTTAACGGTAGGAAAATCCCGAACACTGTTTGACTTTAATTTGAACTTCTGTGCACACAGTTGCCCGCGTGCCGCAGTGGTTATAGCGTCTGCTCTAAGAGTCGCGAAGTAAGGAGTTGATCCTTACGTCGCGGGTTCAAATCCCACTGTGGGACGTTGAGACCGGGTCCTTCGGATGAGACCGTATAAACCAAGAGCCCGTGTCGCAGTAGGTGTTGGCACAAAAAAGATTCCTCCTTGCTCAATGGTCCCGAGTGCTGAGTATAGGACAGAATTTGCAGCTATCCACCGGCAAGTGGTTGCGTCTCTATATGAGTGAAACATTTTCGAGAGGACGTTAAACAACATAAAATCAATCAATCGTCGCATACATTAAGCATATCATGTATGGTCAAGATTCGTTGATAGTTTCACACTAAGTTACACATTGAGGTTTCAAAAAATCTTATTAAATAAAGAAAAACGAAATTAATATATAAAGAAAAACATAAAACGAAATTAATATATAAAGAAAAACGAAATTATTAAATAAAGAAAAACGAGTTGTTTAAAGTTTCAAAGTGAATATAAGATTTTCAATTTTTTCTCGATTTTGTTTTAAAATTCGACAGTTAATTGAATATCTATTTAAGTTTTTCAAAACAAGAAATTAGAAACTTATTACATTAACGGAGAGACGTTGTTACATGTTTTAAATTTATCATTATTTAGTTGTCAATTTTATCATCATTCTTTTATTATTAATTCATAGAAAATAAGGATAACTTTATTGTAGAATATTGGAAAATATTGGCCAGAAGGCACTGATAGTATTCAGTATGGACCTTTTAGAGTAACCAAGGAAACTTCAACACAAGAAGATGAAAATTACAGTGTTATTACCCTTATCTTCAGTGCAGAGGAACGGGTAAAATCATTACGTTTGATGTATATGGAATACATTTCTAAATATTAAGAAGCAATTTCGCCTACATTTAGACTTTATTTTATTAAAAACTTGTTTTATTTTTCTTAAAATCATCCATTGATTACAAACGGTTTCTGCGAAAGATTTTTTTTAAATTATATATGTATTTTAATTGTATTTTTTTTAATTCGTTTTATCGTTTTCTTTTGTATTTAAAACTAACAAACAATTTTTACACAACCTTACTTATATAAACTATTATTTATTAGGAAGAAAGGATGATCACAGTATTTAAATGCAAGTTCTGGAGAGATTCCGAGACAATTCCGCCGTCCATTTCACCAATTTTAAAGTTGATAAATGATGTAGAAATGCATCATAATAAGAACAACACAGGACCTATTATTGTTCAGTGCCTGTAAGATTTGTGACCTTTTACAATAAAATTATGTTTTAATATTTAACATTCGATATATAACTTAAACAGCTTAGAAAACCTTTACAGATTTTACTGAATATCTTCCTAAGCGGGGTTAAAATTGATTTCTCACGTGATCTTTTAAAGAGGAATTGCTGATGAATTTGTAAATTTAGGTTGTTTTAAAAGTATAAATAAGTGGATGTTTTTCTGTGCTCTAAGTGTTCAGTAGTTTCAAAGAAAATATTACACGAAAAAATTATTGATTTTTTTTTTATAGAAATGGGGCTGAGAAAAGCGGTTTGTTTTGTGTTTTGCAAGTCGTGTTGGAAAGAATGAAAATAGAACAAGATGTAGCTATCCACCAAGTTGTTCAGCACATGCGAAGCGTGAGACCGAGCATAATTTCAAATATGGTACTGTATCAATTTCTTGAAGTTCGTCGGTGTATAATACTGAACATACATCATTTTTTAAACTAATAAATGTCATTGTGTTTCTACATGTATATTTTTCACTACAACCTTTGCATTTTCAGGAACAGTTCAAGTTTTGTTATGATGCTGTTATGGAATTCATGAAACAGTATGACGCCTATTCCAACTTCCAATGAGATGTACTAATCTTTTCTAAGAAGTGAAATATAACATTATTTATTGCTGTTTGATGATAATTTATGTCAGCATTATAATTATAAGCTTCCGAATAATCTTTTTATATATTTAAGAAGATAAAAGAGAATTTATGCAACTTTATAATCGCAATGGTTTAAATGCTGCAGTATTTCATATACTGAACTAAAATTTTTATCATTTGGATTATTTATTCTTCCTTATATTTATATTTTTGGTATGTACTGTCATTCATTAACAGAAAATTTCTCTTCCTGATATAATAGAATTATAGAGAGAGTACAGTGAAGTTTGTATGCATGTGTATTCAGTGAAAAGCAAGACCTGGTTTTTATTTTTTGAAACAAACAATTATCTTTGAGTGTGCACAAGATGTGAGATTTTTCTGTCAAAAAAAAAAAGAAAACACAATTTAAAGAATTTGTTGGGGGATACTACAATTATTTCCAGTCTTTTATATAACATAATGTATGACTTTCTTATAATTTTTTGTCTTGTTTATCTTTTATTTATTACATTCAGAAATGAAATGTATCTTAGGAGATAGTCAAACTATATATGGAATGCTATAAAAACATTTATGGTTGAATATTGAAGATCTAATCCATTTTCCAATTCTATATTTCACGTTTAACAGCTTACATCACCACTTCCAGTCAGGACCTCCACTTGAACGCACTACCCATGCCAATGACACATGACCAAACTCTTGCGCACAAACTTTTACACAAAACACACATTCAGACTCATTAGATAACATCAATCTCAAATAAATAAATTGCTGAAAAGAAATTACTGTCCAAAATATTGCTAGAAAATATTTACAATCTACACTCTCAGATATAGATAACTCACAATCAATTACATTCACAAGAAACAAGTTTTACATTTCAAAGTCCTTAAAACGTTGCGCTAATTACCTAACATGGGTTGACATTCTCAGTTACAGAGTTACTGTATTAGATGACGGGACATAGTCACTATTGTAAGTAGACTCAAGACTCTCTTCGCTAGAATTGTCTGGAATACCTTCCGGTTCCTGATATTTTTAACGAATGCAGTATTTCGCCTCATTGAAACTCCCTCCGCCGATTTTAAGACACAACTGTTTCCTTTTTGTGTACAAGTTTATATGACTCAGTATGATACGGCGTGTTCATTTTATCCTTGACAGCGTTCTTCAAGAGGGCCGAATCTCCTGACCCTATATCGCAATCCACTGCAATACGTTTCTCGTCGATATAAAGCTTGTTATTGTATTTGAAATTCACATCCTTATCACGCACTCCATCATCATAAACATTTTCTTGTAGGTTTACTTGCGAGAGCTTGGTTCTCAGTATACGACGGAACATAAATTCTGCAGGTGGTACTCCTGTCGTATTATGAAGTGTCGTTCTGTATGCAAATATATGTTTGTGGACATCTGTCTTCCAATTCTTAGACTCTGCTGCGCTATTCGAATTCTTTTCAACGATCTGTTCTACCACCCCGTTTGCTGACGGATGTAACGGTGTAACTGCTCGGTGCTTGATACAGTTATCTGTCAAATAATCCTTAAACAACTTTAATCTGATTAGGGGTCCATTGTCTGAAATTATTGGTAATGAAAGTCCACATCCAGTGTATTAATCATGTTATCCTTTGTAATACCAGTATCCTTGGTAATATCAATCTCATAGTATCGGCTGTAATAGTCAACAACGGCTAATACATATTGTCCAAATCTTAACGGTCCAAAAATGTCAATTACCAATTCTTGTCATGGTAATTCTGGCAAGGGTGTAGGACTAATTGGTTCTGGTTTCGGAAATGCAATGGTAACCTGACATCCACGACACGATTTTACATACGTCCCTACTTCCTTATCCATCCAAGGCCACTAAACCTCGTATTTGCTGTTTTGTACCAACATTTCATTAATGACCCTGGTGTACACACTGTACATACTGTACACACTGCTTCCTCAGATTTATCGGAATCACTATTTTGGATCCACGTAACACCACGTTTCCAATACAAGAAAGTTTATATCCGAGTAGGTAATAATTAACACATGATTTATCCCACTTTCCCTCTTTGACAAATTTCCGAATTCTAACAAGTTTTTCATTCCTCCTTGAATCTTTTTCTACTTGGCGAGTGGACAATTACTGAGGGGTGGCATCCCTTGCAATAATTTCACATATTAATCAGTGTCTCTTGAATTACTGTTTTATACAGGTGTCTTGTCCTCCAAATGTGATAATGCATCTGCAATATTCTGATGTCCAGGTGAGTAACATATTTTGAAGTTTTAAGCCATAAGTTTTAATAGCCATCGTTCAATTCTTGCATTAGGTCTGCATTGTCTTCCATAAAGCACTTCTTATGGCTTGTGGTCTGTGATTAATTAAAAATCAAATTATCAAAATCCCGTATAGATAGATATGGGACTTCTTGCATGCCAATACAACTGCCAAAGCTTCTTTCTCTATTGTTGAATAATTGCTTCGGCCGCTGACAATGTTCGACGAGCATAACTGATGAACCGTGTTTTACTCATGTTAAATTGAAATAGGACAGCTCCCGGGTCTACATTGCTTGCACCTATCGTGTTTTTTTCTGTATCTATTCTGCAATGCCCAAAAGTTTTTCACACTTAAAAAACAACTCTATAAAGTGTCAAAACTTTTTTTCTGCTCAGCTATCCAGACAAACTTCAGGTTTTCCTTTGTCAGCCTTCTGGGTGGTTCTGCCAGAGTAGTGAGATTTGGTATGTAACGAGCACTAACGTTCACAAGTTCAAGGAAAACTTTTCACTTCAAATCTATTTGTTGGCTCTTTAGCGTTGAGTAATGAGTTGTTCCCCTCACTAGTCGGCCCTATACCATTTTTTTGACAAGACACGTCCCATGAATGTTATTTTATTCATTCTAAATTCACACTTGTTTAGATTTAGTGTCAATCCTTATCCTTAAGGTTTAGCGAAGTAGCTCATCATGTTCTGATTTGTCACGACCATAAATTAAAATATCGTCTGAAATAATCTGTACTTCTTCACAGTCATGAAACACTTGTGAAATCATTTGCTGATATTTCTCTGAAGCTGATGAAATCCCAAGTAACAGTCTTTTATATCTGCAGATACCTTTATTAGTAACGGATGCAGTGATCTCCGTTCACGCTTCTTCCAGCTCAATTTGATGGTGTCCACTTCTTATGTCCAACTTACTAAACAATTAGTTACCATTCACCATGTGGGGTATGTCATCCACTGTTGGAATAAGATGCCGCTCACGAATTATAGCAGCATAGGTTCTATCTAATATCGACACGCAATTTAACGTCACCGTCAGTTTTTGATACGATAATGACGGGACTGACCAACGGTGTAGGATCATTAACTCTTTCATTGATATCCTGAGACTCGAGTTCATCCAATTGTTCTCATACTTTATCCCTCAAACAGTACGGTATTCTGTACAAAGCTTGTGCTACTGGTTTCAAATTCTATATGTAACTTCAACATAGAGTCTTTAAGTTTTCCTAGTCTGAATAATCATGAACAATGTCAGTTGGCAATACTATGTTGACTCCAAGTTTCAAAACTAAATTCATAGCAGTGTCTCTCACTACTTACGCTGGTCCTTTTCCATCCAGTAAATAGAATTGCTCCTCTCTGCTGTTACTAGTTTCTTCAATTGTTCTGAGATCTGATTTTTAAGAGCTCTGTTGACCTGTAAGCAAACAACCTTTTCTCTGACTGACACAACGTCCACAACAAAAACACTTACTACCTAGTTTTTTGTCCTGAAATTTTGGTTTCTGTTTGTCAGTTTTTTCATGATGCCCCTGAATTCTGTTAACCGACACTAAAATCTCAGTGTCAGTATGTCTTGTCTGTACTTCAGTTATTAGTCCCCTACCGGTGAAACCGGGGGACTATAGGTTTCCTCTGTTTACGTCCGTCCGTCTGTCTGTCCCCGTCAGTCTGTCCCACTTGGTTTTCCGCACTTTTTTTCTAAACGCTTGTAGATATTGGGCTGAACTTTGGCATGTGAGTGTATCTTAATGAGTTACAGATCAAGTTTGAATATCTCTTTGCTTCATTGATTTTTGACAGAATTATGGCATTTTGAATATTTTTCATAATCGCTTAATTATAATCGGGTTCGAACTGCACTAACTTCCGATTGTCGACAAAAATATGAAGCGAGGAAAAGACGGTGGTCGGGTGGAGAAATGAGTTGAATTTTCGTCTTAATGTGGATTATTTTATTAGTTTCAAGGCATTTACAACTTGAAAATCTTTCAGTTTTACCTTGGACATGACTTTTGCATATAATAAAATGACATCCTGAAGAAAAAGGGGAACCCGGTAGGGGACATGTATTGCTTATGCAATACTCTCAGAATGCTTGTTTCATTTGTAGTTGCTTAATTATTCTAAAGTAAAATTTGTTTCTTTCTCTAATTTTGTGCGGCCTACACTTTTCAATCACTTGATCCTGAATTTGCTCATCCTGATTTGCAAAATCACAATACGCTGCCTGTTGTCTCAGTTTTGTAATAAGCTGTTATACTGTTTGTCGCTATTTATTATTTTACCAAAAGCGTTACGTTCGTACGGAACATTCAATTTGCTTTCAAAATGTTTATCTACAAATTGTTATTGTCATCCGCTTCCTCTACATTCAATGTGTAAAAATGTCTTGACCTTTAAGTCCCGCACAAAATAATAACAAATGTTTTTTTTTTCTGTTTTCATCTTCATCGCTAGTACAAATAGTCGAATCTAATCAATTTTGTTCACACATTACTTCGATTTTAGACATAAACATTTGGTATTTACCGATCCTTTGCCAAGAACACGTATAATTCACGGGTCTTTCGGATGATCATGATAGCTTTTTAAAAAAGTCCCGGGTCAAGAAGGATGTTGGCATGAGAAAGAACCTTCTTTGCATAAGGATACTGACAGCTTACTATAAACTATACATGTAGGTCTACATTTAAAGCTCTTCGATGGTATATGGTGACATCTCTATATGAGTGTAAAATTCTCGAATGGAATGTAAAACAACTTATCATAAATCAATCACATTTTTTCATTGAATATTACAAAAATAGACACAGTCTTCTACAGAAATCGTTTAATTCCCAACCATTTTTTTTTTAAATATGGCAACTTGAATGGTGGTTAGATATCCAGAGTGGAGGTAAGAATGTCTTTACTTGTGAAGGTTTTTATGCATTGCTATAAAGACAACATTTTATCATTCCTATCATGAGTCCTGTGTCACGGTAGGCGTTGGCACAATAAAGAACTTTCGCTGTTCCATGGACCTGAGTGCCGAGTATAAGTCTAAATCTGAAGCCTTTCACCGGCATACGGTAGCGACTCTGTATTAGTTAAAAATTCTTGAATGGAACGTTTAACAATATACAATCAATCAAACTTCTCATACCCTGCTCAAAGTATAAAGCAGATAATCAATGAAAGAGCAGTATATGGATATGAAGGACATATTCATTAAATAGCAGAAAGACCTTTTCTGCCTTCTCGGTACTCCGTACAGTCATTTCTTGCTGTAATTAAACATCAGGCTATTTGACATCATAAAATCACTAAAAAATTTGGAACTTTTCTATGTTTATACATGCATGTATATTTTGATTGGCCATCTTCATAATTACTTTGTTAAAAATCATTAAGATACTAAATACAAGTACTTTAAAGTTGAAAGGACAAAGAAAATGAAGTTCCACATTGACAAAATGAATATTTGCTTTTATATTTAGTAGCCTAGTCTTCCAACAATCTGATGAAATTTCCATGATTTGCTTTATTAGCGGACCTGATGCAGATTTATTAAAGAAGAAAAATCTTTCCCCGGTCTTGCCTTTAATTTAAATATATCGTTGAAGTTTACTCAAATAACTATGGTTACACTTATTCAATTGTATCATCTATGTACTATTTTCAATTAACTTGAAATATAAGCCAGTATAAAAGACACTACC